CTTTCTTCATGGACTATCTTTTGATAATAATAATTATTAGTGATATTATCTGATGTTGTTTCAATACCATGCTTATAAACTTCTTTTAAAATTCGTGTTCTATCATAATGATTTCATGTAGTAATACGAATATATATCTTTTTCTCAGTATGATAACTACGAATTGGATATGCATAGACGTTCTTCATTCCAAACTTTGATTTGTCAATTTTTTCCATCCCTGATATAATTTTCACTAATTTTGATTTAAATGCAAATAAAGATTCGTTATCAGGCACAGCGACATCAAAGAAAGGTTTGATCCCTGTAATATTCACCCAAGCTTTTTGCCCATTAATCAAAGCGCTGTAAATACGTAGAATATATGTTTATATATTATTTACATATTCAAAAGCATCTTTCACATCACTAGGCATAAAGTATATGGACTGTTTATCGGATAAGCTTTGTTGAAGTATGTTTGTTATCCCATTATCGCATCCTGAAATAAAATCATTGCGAGTTGGAATCCCAGCTACGCTTTCCCTGCTCCCGTACCAGATCACTTGTGCACTTTGTTTACTCATTTTTGGTATTTGGTTTTTTTATTGGTATGTATCAATCTTTGTTCGATTATATTATTACAAAATAGTTTGGAAAAATTTAAATTATTTTTTTGGTTGATATATAGTGATATCAAAAAAATACATAGAGTTTTAGTGAAATGTAAAGAAAATTGCAATCTCAATTAGTGAATACTTTAAGTATTTAACTGTAATATATATTGTATTATAAATATGTTTTCGCGTATATGTCATCAAGAGTATTCAAGTACAATAACATATTATAAGAAAAATGGCAGAAGAATACTCTTTTAATAATATGTTTTCAGGTATGTTTTCGCGTGTATGTCATCAAGGGTATATAAAATTGTGCCAATAGGAATAGCATTTTAAAAAATTGTTGGGTCACCAAGGAATAATTATTACAGATAAAAGATATATAAAATTGTGCTTTGATAAGCACCAAATAAGTATTATTTTCAAGTAAAAAAAGTGGAACACCAAGGTAAAATTATTACAGATATATATATAATAAAATTATGCTTTGGTGGGTCACCAAGTAAGGATAACAAATTCAGCATTACATGCCTCATTATCGGATACTTTAGTATTTTATCAGATATATTAACAATTCAGCACTACGTGCCTCATCCTCAATCGATATTTGAATGCATTATACAAAACCAGAATACAAATATTATTTCAGCACTGCGTGCCTTAAACCTGGCTCTCATTGAGGAATTAATCAAAAAGCTAGATCACTACGTGTTCAGTTCGGGCATAACCCTCACACTGGGTCCGCAAATGATGACACACAACTGAATGTATCATCAGCTCAGCAATGGAAATCGGATGATACTGATGATAGTATCATATTTCTGTTGTCAAAAATGTGTCATAAAATATATATTACAATACTGACGATGGTGTCGCATTTCTATCGTTAAAAATGTGTCATAAAATATATATCATGACACTGACGATGATGTCGTGTTTTTGTCATCACAACACTGATGACAGTGTCACGTTTTTGTCGTCACAACACATACCTGGGATGGTTATAGTCCGAACTAAGTGATATAATTATAGTCTATACAGACTATAATTATACCACTTTATTTGTACTTTTAAATTTATAAAATACTTATCCAACTAGTGGAAGTATCCGAATCTATTTCTTTTTAATACTCTCTCCCAACCATCTAGTATCCAACCCTCTCAAGTACACACAATCACTATTATCGCTCTTATACAATTCTTAATTAATTATTATAATTAGTTAATACTTTGCCTATCACTATAAGAACAGTAGCAATACTAATTAAGAAATCAAAAAAAAATAATTAAATCAATTATTAGTAATTTTAATCAGGTAAAAAATCAATAATATTCCTACTTCTAATTGTAAACTTTTATTTATTAAGTATAGTACTCTAGTCATAGTAAAACAAAGTGATTATCACATGATATTAATCAGATCTAACTAATAAAAATGCGCAAAAATTCTGCGCAACCAATGGAATATAGCAAATTTTTGATCAACCTGGCAAAACAAACTTGATACAAAAAAATGAAAAAAGATAAAAAATATGAAAAATACAAAAAACAGATATCTAAATCTAGTTTGGCACACTATCAAAAAATGTCAGAAAGACAATTTTATATATAAGCTTGATTTCAGCTCTAATTCTAATCCTAATACTTGATATTCAATATTAATCGAATATTTTAATAAATCTATTTTCAGTTCACGTGACAGTTACTTTGTTTTGCCATGGCTAGGATACCTAATAAACTATTTGCACTGTAATCAAATTCTCTATAATCATATCCAATTATAGTAAAGTTCAATTTTAAGTTCAGTGGGCGCTGGATACAATAACGTGATCGGGGGAAGAGATTTGGTGTTATGATATTGAAAAATACAGTAATGAGATCGGGAAAGAGATTTATCTTAAAGAGTGTTACTATAACGAGCGCTCACTGTATTTTGCTGTGTAACAGATAACGAAGTTTATTCTCCGGAGCGTTAAACCGGATTTTACGTGTATTTCTTTATAATTATATTATTGTTACAGTATTAAAAAAAATTATAATTACAATATCGAAACTAAAATATTTATACATTAGCATCATATTTAAAAAATATCCAACCAATAACTTGTAATAAATGTTTTTGTTATTCCAATATAATAGAAACCAAGGTTACATTGTCTTGTTGCATATTCTTCACTATTATATTCAAAACAAAGATTTTTTTACATTCGATTTGGTTTGATCATTTTGTAGTACGAAGATGTTTTCAAACTATATTTTGCAAGGAATATTTGATATCGATATACAGTATATCTCCAAAAATAAGCTAACCCTTTTTCATTTACAACCCACTATCGCTATACCACTATATCGAGAATTTATTAATCGTTATACATAGACTGTTTTGGACTCAATTCACTATATCAAGAATTTACGTATATAATTAGTCTTCACTATATTGGGAGTTCACTATAACGTGAGTGACTTGTATATAGTATTGGATATTACATTACTCGAGTTTATCAACTATTCGTTCATGAATTTTTTTGTTTGCAAAAAATACTCTTTTTTAAATAAAGGAATACCTAAACCAAGTAGTCAGGGCTTTTTATGAGGATTCCTTTTTTTGAAGAAACGTCATAAGCAAAAGCATCCTATTATAACGAAGTTAATAATTAACGATAGATCTCGGGGGAGTTCCAAATCAAATTCTTCATTAATGTTAAACTTTGTGCTAAAAAACAGGATATTCTGCTAAAAGGATTTAGATATTTCATTGTTTACAAACAAGTTTGCATGAGAAGTTTGCATGAGTATTCAAAAACAGACATTTTGAGTCAAAAATCGAAACTATTGACAAAAACTTTTTGACTGGCAAAAGATATAATCCACTGTTTTGCATCAAGCAAGTAAACTTGAAAAGTTTTACATGAACTCATAGTGATAAATCACTTGGACGAATTCTTTAATCGCTTATAACAATTACAATTTGAAATATTAATATTATGATCAATAATTATCGCTATTCGCAAAAAGGTGTCTATGAGATTTTTGTGTGTGAAAAATCTCAAGTCTAAATTAAACGGTCATAATCTTGTTTGGAGGTTTGTTTTCAAAGAGAAGATCTTGAAAAGTGAAAAAAAAGATTCACGAGACTTCCTTTTTTCACTTTTCCCCTGAAAACAAACCTCCATGCATGATTATGACCGTTTAATTTAGACTTTGAGATTTTCACACACAAAGATCTCATAAACACCTTTTTGCAAGTTAACTATTAATATCGCAAGGATAAAGAAAATGAGACTATTATGTATAATGATAGATAGATAATAAGAATGAATTGAATTTTCGCGGTAAGATTTTCGTTATGTTAATATATACATGGAGGTACGATTGTATGATAAGAACTTAATGTGTTTACTTTCAATCTCAAAAAACTTAATAAAATAATATCGATAAATAGTACTAAAGATGTTAGAAGTGGCTAAGTAGAACGTGCTTCGAAAATTCAAAAGAATAAAATTTTGGCTGTGTCATTTCATTGATGCGACTTTCAGACTTTTAACACTTCATTGTCATCATCGTTGTGGTTTTTACGCCATAATGAGATTTCAACTCTTGTGATGCTAGAAATTGTATATATAACATTAAAACCGGATACAACTTAAAATAAACAATCGGAAAAACAAAAAAAGGGTTCAAATAAATAATAAAATAAAATCAAGGATTGAAAATTTTCTCGAAATGTGAAACATCGTATTTCTCATTTTCGTCCTGGAGCAGTTATTTCAGTTATATTCATGCACGCCCGGACGTCAATCGAGAGAAATTAAAAGAAAACGTGTGTTTTAGCTACTTTCTATACGTTGACGATTGACGATGCACGCCAATGCGTACATACATACAGTGCAATCTTTCATCCGAGACGAAAACGGTTCTCTTTTAAATTTGAAAGAACATCACTATTGGACCATAATGTCTTAGAATTATTCCTATTTATTTGTGGGATTCTTAAATGGTCTCATTTGAAATTCTTTGATTTTGAAAAAGCATTTGATTATTCATTGGGGCTTCTCATTATTCTCATTCGTAAAAATATTTTCAATTGTAGCAGAACATTGACTCTTCACGGAGAGATTTGGATTTGGATGTGGATGGGATTGATCTAACCTAAAACTTGGTTTACACAATTTCGAACCAAAACAAACTTTATGTACATTATCTTCCGTGAATCTTCACCAATAACTTTTTTCATTACACAATATCTTTTTTGGTTAACCTCATCAAAAAATTCTTGTGTCCATCTTTTTGGTTAAAAAATTCCTGTGTCCACCTTTTTTTTGCAAGTTAGCAGGTTTAATATTTTCCATATAAAAAAACCCCGTTCGCGTCTTGAAGTTTATAGTTTTTCACGAAAAATAAATGTCTAGCAGACAAATTACCGAATTGCATTTTAATAGCCATCCCTCTTCACCCAATATGAGTGCGGAGAGATCAAAATGTAGTAATTTTCTTTGATTCTATCTATATTATTCACGAATTTCGTTTGTTGAATTCATTTTTTTTTTCTTTCCCTACTTGTTGCATTATAGACGTAATAGGAGTATGTGCATTAGATACCAAAGCACGTTCAAAGCCCATGAGAAACATTTTGAATTCCCTATTTTCTTTTGGCGAATTCGAAACGATTATTTTTGGCGATAAGGTTATACTTGACGAAGGTATATTTATATGTAAAAAATATACATGTTGCAATTTTGAATTCATATTAAATTCCTTATAAACTAACATTAGTATATATTATTTCTTTTCTTATAAACAAGACGTCGAGAACTGGCCTGGCTGCGATTTTTTCATATCGTTTTTCTCAGCAGGATTTCCATTGGACAAAGCAATCCAGTATGTCAATTTACGGAAGCCATTTTGCGTCAACGACTTGCCAATGCAGAAAATCCTATGGGATAGACGCCTGGTTATGAACGTTCTTGATGCGATTGAGGTTCCAACTCCACAAAGATTAGTTGCCAGTCGGGATGGCGGGGCGAAATTAGAGAAAGAAGTATCAGAGGAGTTACAAAAGACTATAGGCGTGAAACTTGATAAACCATGCGGACCCGCCCATGTAGAGTTGATTGATTACAACACCCTTAGTGTTGATGGTCAATTATTAAAAAAACCTTTCGTGGAAAAGCCCATAAGTGGCGAGGATCACAATATACACATTTACTTTTCAAAAGAAATGGGAGGGGGTGGGCGTAGGCTTTTCAGAAAGGTATAATATCTTATCTGTTAAATATCATTTCCTACTAGTAATTTTGGTATAATTTAATAACCTTGGGTACATTGTTAACCTAATATTATATAGATCGCAAATAAGTCGAGTGAATTTGACCCGAATTTATTTCAACCACGAACAGACGGCTCGTACATCTATGAGCAATTCATGGATACCGATAATGCGGAAGACGTCAAAGTCTACACTATCGGTCCTTCGTTTGCACATGCCGAGACGCGTAAATCTCCCGTTGTGGACGGCATGGTAAGAAGGAATAACGATGGCAAAGAAGTCCGCTATGTTACTACACTAACTCCTAAGGAGAAAAAAATGGCGAGCAGTATATGTCTTGCTTTTGGCCAAACTGTCTGTGGATTTGATTTGCTGCGTGTGCACGGCCAGTCCTATATCATCGACGTAAATGGATGGTCGTTCGTGAAAGGAAACGACGACTACTATAACAACTGTGCCCGAATTCTTCGTACGATATTCTTAAACGCCGTCCGTAGGCGTAAGATTAGTGTTGATTCTATCCCAAAGGCATTACGCTATGAAAATTCGTGGAGATTGAAATCCTTTGTCTCGGTATTTCGTCATGCCGATAGGACTCCGAAACAAAAAATGAAATTCTCTTTCCGGAGTCAACCATTTATTGATCTACTTAATGAAGGCACGGAGGAGGTCATTTTGCGAAATGAAGAACTGAATCTTGTTTTAGACGCGACCGAAAAAGCCATTGGACTTCTGTCAGAAGATCCGGTAAAACTAAATCAATTGAAGCTAATATTAGACATGAAGCGCGATTTGCCAGGGACCAAAGTGCAAATCAAACCTTCTTATAATAAAGTCGATGGCTTGTTCATTAAATTACAATTAATTGTGAAATGGGGTGGAGAGGTCAGTTTATACGCTTTTTTCAAACAGCTTATTCGGAAACTGATATGAATCTTCCGCCTTAAATCAAATTTACATAACATTATGTAGTTTACTCATTCTGCTCGATATCAATCTCGTGATCTTGGTGAAAATTTGCGAAAAGATTTACTGATCATGAATCGAGAGGTGTTTGATGATGTGAAAATATTCACTAGTTCGGAAAGACGTGTGAGCGCTACAGGTATTTTCACAAAGCTCAAGTCAACATTTCGTAACTGTTTTCGGAAAGTTAGTCCCACAAACATGTCATAAAAAATGTATAATAACAGAAATCGGAAAAACAAAATTGTAATAAAAAACTTGTAAATGATTTTTTTTGTATAAAATTTTAGTGTTTTCAAATGGTTATATATAGTTGCACAGTTTGGGTTACTTTCTGAAAACAGTAATGGAATAGCTTCAGTATTTTATTAGTTACGCTGTCATCTATATTGTGTTATTACGTATATGTGGATTTGAGGAAATCGGCTAATAATGATCAAAAAATTTGCAGCGGACATTTTTGCACGAACATTTTTATATGTAGACGAAATCCCAGAAGGAGTAATTCAAATTCGCAAAGAAATGCTTGATGACAGTAATGCAGCCAAAGAGCAAATGGATGGTGTCAAGAGCCATCTTACAACACTCTTAAAACCGGGCGAATCATCTCGAGTGGATTTTGCCTGGCCAAAAGACATGCCAGAACCCCGTATAGTTGTCCAAGAAATTATAGATTCATTGAATAATCATCGTGCTATCATGAATCGTAATTTTGAAACCATGGATATTGAAAAGATTCAATCACGTTGGTGTTGCTCCGAAAATCCTCAGTTATTTAGGGAGCGATGGGAAAAACTATTCAAGGACATTTGTGATGTTGACCGTCACAAATTCGATCCAAGCAAACTGTCAGAACTTTACGATTCGTTAAAATACGACGCATTGCATAACCGACAGTTTCTCGAGAAAATTTTCCAAGATCCAGCGCAAGAAAAGAGTACTCTCCAAGTGAAAAAGCTGTATCAACGCTCGAAAATCCTGTTTGATTTTGTGGCGCCTCAAGAATACGGTATTGAGAATAAGGAGAAATTGGAGATCGGATTGCTGACTTCACTACCATTGCTCAAACAAATTATTGAGGACTTAGAGGTAGCAAAGGCGAGTTCAACTCCGTGTACGAGACTCTATTTTACTAAAGGTGAAGCCTATACAAGATTGAAAATAAAATGGCCGCCTAACTTTATGGTCTATTGATTTCGTAACCTGTTTATTGTTAATTAATGTACATTAATTAACATTCATAATATTTCCCTGTGATCTTTATTATCAGAGTCCCATGTACATACCCTTTTAAATGTTGTGTTCTTGTCTGGTCTACCGACCAGAATCAACAAAAATGCTATACCGGAACTTGATTGTAAATATTCTTTCCCAACTCAATATAATAAAATGTTTATAAGTTACATGTAATCGATATTTCGTTACATGGATCCCGAATCTAATCACATGAATAACTTGGATGTATGTAAAGACCTTACACAGATTACTTTTGAATTGTACGAGCGTACTCGTAACGCATCCGGTGACGATAAAGAATACTCATTACGCGTGGCATTCAGCCCAGGTGCCCACGATCCTAATATTCTCGACATCCAACTTGATGCTAGGCATTGCCTTAATGTGGCACCGAGGAAGTAAGTAAATCAACCAATGATTCTGATTATTTTTATATAATGCTAATAATCATAAATTTCTCTATTCACTCTCCATCCATTTACCGATACCATGGCACTAAGGAATTTGACCGATCATTTGCCACTTGATGAAGCTTTATCTTATTATAAACGGAAACTTCATAATCCGCAAATGGCAGCCGTTGAAGAACAATTACACCTTATGCATGAAAACAACCATCGCAATTCTCCATCCCCGATGCATAATGACATTTTGCGTTTAAGCAAATCGTTTTAGCCGGAATCACGCGTCTTAGTGCGCGTATCTGATAGGCTACAGGTTGCGAGTACTTAATTTATTTGTTTGTTTTTTTATATATATTGTAACAATGCCTTAATAGAAGTTTAATATAAATTAAAGATATACATAGCTTTGATCCCTAATCATCCGCAACTAGGTAATTTTTTATCTAATCGATATATATCTCACGTGACTTATTAGAGCCCGAAATCATTAAGAATTTTTTTACTTGAATCGCAAAAATAAACATATCGATATATAAGGCGTATATAATAAAGTATTATGTTGTCGGTCGCGATGCTAAAAAAATTATTTATACATGGTCTAATGACACTATTCATCTAATATCTATATATTATATAGACGTTAGACGAATAATGTTGTTTGATCATTAGACCATAAAATTATATACGCCTAAGTAGATGATATGTTGCTTCATGAGTATCCCAAAGAGGAATTTTATTAACTGGAATTTTTCTTACATTTCTACAATAGTAAGTATTTCGTTTCGGATCATGGATTCTATTCTCACCACAACTTTCTCCTCTCTTCCCTTATTTTCATGAAATATTTTCTTTTCTCACTAAATCTATTAATCCTATGCTGAATTCTTCTCTCTATCCTTTGCCTTTCCTCCTCGGTTGTCGGAGCAACGATACCAACATAAAATGCGCTACAATTATACTTTTCGGCCAGTCTTTGACGCGTCCATTTTTTCGGATGCTCTAGTCTCAGTTTTTGCATTTCTTGGATTTGATCGTCGGTGATGTGATATGCTTTTGTCTTTACTGGTTTAAGAGGTGGCGGCAACTCGTCAGGGGAAATAGGTGGTGGTTCATTAAGAGGTTTACGCGCGACAAATAAACTACCATCATCCAAAGTAACCGTGTCGTATATGGGAGCGAAAAGTTTTGTCAGGGCCTTGGGTTTACGAGCATGCGTTTTGCGTTGAGCATAAAATCGAACGCTAAGTGAAAAAGGTCTTGAAGTCAAAATTGGTAACGGCGCGTTGCGAGAGAAAAAAGCCATTTTGATACAAGATTGATGATCCTCCTAATCAACCTGCATAGTGTATGTATCGATGTATACGATTGTCGTGATACAACACTAAAATGTCTAAACTTTCACTTCAGAACGCTATACTAACTTTTGAACAACTAGAGACAACACCTTCACGTAAAGATGGCATTCCGGAAGAACTCGAGGATGCACTACGACAGCTTGGCTGTGAACTCGTTCAGTCTGCTGGAATACTCATGAAACTGTATTGACATTAATAAATCTGTGGTTTTTTTTTGCTGCACGTAATAAAGAGCTGCAAAGTAAATTTTCGGAGCTTCATTTCAAAATGCAAAGACCACAAGTAGCAATGGCAACTGCTCAAGTCCTTTTTCAACGGTTTTTTTACGTGGCTTCTCTTAAGAAATTTACCGTTTTGGCATGTATTTTTTTTGTTGGTTGGTTTACCTATTTACCCTACCTGACGTAAAATATTATTCGTTAAAGGAAATTGGCATGGGCGCATTATTTCTCGCTTCAAAAGTTCAAGAATCTTCATGCAAAATAAGGGATTTGATTAATGTGTATCATTATCTGATAATACGATATCAGAATATGCCGTATAAATCGTTAGAATATTTTGGCCAGGTCAATTTGCTTGAATCAATCTTTTTTTACATACAAAATTTTACAATTTGATCTAATTATTTTTTATTTTCAGACATTCTATGACATGAAAGATTCGATCGTCATTGCAGAAATGCAAATATTGAAGCGGCTCGGATTCAACGTGCATGTGCAACTACCGTATGGTCTAATGGTGAATTATCTACGGGTGCTTGAACTCACCGAGCACAAAGAAATTCCACAGAAAGCCTGGGGATATTTAAATGATGCGTGAGTTTATAGTAAATTCGTCATTCTATTGTTGCGTAATCGAGTTTAATATTACCATTGTTACGTACACCTACAGCCTTCGGACAAATATCTATGTATGCTATCAACCTCCAACTATTGCCTGCGCTGTGATTTGGCTTGCAGCTCGCATATACCAGGTCAAATTACCTACTGAGTCACCGTGGTGGGCATTGTTCGAGGCCAAATTGGAAGATATCCTTTTGTTTCATCTTTATTAGTATATCATCAGAGTTATTTGATTTTTCTTAACGTGAAAATCACATATGGAAAATATAGCAGGACATATTATGCGACTTTATGCTATTGAATCACCACCAAATTTACCATTGACGCTTGAAGAAATAAAACAATACGTTGATACGGATCAGTAGCCAATATTACGCTCGTTATTCTATAACACAATTAAGATAGGTAAGATCTATATTATTGCTTTAGAGATAATTGTTACCTATATTTCTTATATTAAAGTAAAGTATCAAATTTTTTAAAGGAACTACATGTTATGTTCGAAGCATGTCTTCATTTTGTTGATATATAAAATTGAAGAATTATATGCAAGTACTAATGATTTAAGAGATTGCATTGTTTGTTCTGACAAATGAGATCACTTTTTTTTCTATCGCAAATAAAAATTCAAGTTTTAGATCCAGTATTTTATTCTATACTAAGAATATATGTATATCAGTGTGTAAATAAACAAATGAAAGTGAAAGTGAAAAGCAGTATATTTTCATTATTTAATGTTAATGAAATCCCGAGTTTACCATGGAAATGTTTCTACAATAAACTCAAAGTGGAAAAAAAATCTCAATGAGCCTCAGGTTGGTAAGTATGTTTATATTCTTTTTAGTCTTGTGACTTGGAGAGAGAGACACACCAAATTTGTATAAAATTCTTTACATAAAAAATTACGCCAACAAAACAACAAAACCATATATACGTGTATGTACCAATCAATAATTCTGTTGACATATGTTTACTTTGTTTTTTTGTTGCACATTCTGGCGCAAGATAATTTGTGTAAGACGTCTGTGGATGTGTCTTTGTGAATGGAAAGAAGTAGTATTATATATTGTTTTAAAGTAGAATCTACATGACAGAATCTGTTAATGTATAATCTAATTCAATACAGGGGAAAAAAGAGAATGAGAAATATGATGAGTTGCACATGCGTTTGTGCTCTTCTATAATGGAATAATAATGTAAATGAATGTGGGAAAAAACCAGTCTCTGCGTCGTGTAACAGTTTCTGGCAATATTTTCGTGTTTCTGTTAACTCTAAAAACGATCAAGACTTTTGTTCATTTTTTATGATCTACAAGTTCTTTTTTCATGTTATGTGCATTACGTTATATGTATGTATGCATGACCTAATAATCTAAAACCTTGCAAAATTCACGCGCTGTGTAAATGATTGTGCGTGCATTTCTTTTTTCCTGTTAAGGTGCGCGCGTTTTTTTGAATTGGTGTATGTTTCTTTTGGTGGGTGAATTTGGTGGATGAATGATAGTAATACTATCAATCATGTTTATAGTAACTCCGTGGGGATGGTGGAAGGTTATCCTCTTTTTGATAATGATGATGGTGATGATGAAGAATGTCGACGTATTAAATAAATCTATTACTCTTTACCCTCACATACACATCAATGGAAATCCAACGTTTTGATGCATATATTCACATACACATGCATTATTATTCTAACAATAAAAACTCATCACGACTACGAAAGAATTTATACTGTGCTGTATTTATTTATTTGCTTATTTATTTATTGTTTCCTGTTTAAGGGTGGCTGACTTCATTTAGTTCATAATTTTGTAAAACTTGAATTCATGGTCTAATGAATCCATTTCATTGATTCAAAAACAATTCATTTGGGATATTAACAAAAGAAATACAGAATTACGAGTTAAGAAAATTTTCGAGTATGGCACGTAAAAGTTTGGACTATTTTATATATCAATATATATCAATATATATATATATATATATTATCTTATATTACTTGACTTTCTACTAGGTAATTCAATAATATAAAATTGCTGCGTACTACTATGACCAAGTATTGATCAAGTGACCTTTATCAAGAATAGAACAAGCTAATAAACAGGCAAATAACTCCGGCTAACAAGTCAACATTTTATTTTATTTTATTTTTATTTTATTTTATTTTATTTTATTTTATTTTTATTATTTATTTTTGATCCAGTCTTTTCAACATCATAGCATCATAATCATCATCAGCGGCAGTCCATAACCGAATAACAAAAAAATATCATCAATACTTTTTTTTTATAGTATTATCACTACTCCTTTTTTTATGGCACTTTTTTTTTTACTTTTTCTTTTTTTTCTATCCAACCTTTCTAATTATTATTATTATTTATTAATTTTACAATAATAATAGTGTAATACGTAGTATATATTATTAATAATTATTATCAATAATCATTTTATTGTGAGAGTCTGGTGTGTTTTGTTTGCTTTAACGCACTTTAAAGCTTTCGCGCGCACTCTCTGAATAATTGTGTGTACGTGTGAACAGTGACAGTAAGTAGTAATCAGCATTAGCTAGTTTTTAAAGTGAAAAGCGGTAGTTTGAGGGTAGTCGCACGTGCGCTCTAGAAAACTACTCATCTGGGAATTTCACGTGAAGCAAGACATACTAATAATAATAAAAAGGTTCCTTCTTCTTTTAACGCTTTTGCTTCATGAAAAATAGTGGCGAGCTTTCAACTTCTACCCCATCCACTAGTAATAGCACTTTTTTCCTAAATAATATCTATTTATATATCAATTATCCGTTAAATTGATACATGATACCTCTCATTTCTAACAAATAATAAATAATGATTACATTAATAAAAAAAACAGTTACTAATTAACAATCTCTATTGTTTCATTTCCCTCGACCATCCACAACTCAGATAATTAATTATACAGTGTTAATTTAAGTATTTATTTGTAAGAGAAAGAGTGTGAACTAACGAGTGAAAGTAAAGAATCTTGAAAAACAACCGGAGAACAGCAGTCGGAATCGCTCAGTCTAATATAAATAATATAATATAAATAATAAAACATGGCCCCAACGCAACTCAGAATCAAAGGCAACAAAGCCTTCTCAATGCTATCAACAATAGAAAATGAAGCAGACTTATCGAAAACGTGGCGTCTCATGACAAAAGTTAAGGATGCACTTGAGTACGGAAAACGCTTAGAGAATCTTTCGTGGCGTCTCTGGTTTATGCATCATCAGATGGTGCATGATCCGAAAACACAGTCAAAATTTAAGAAGTTGTCCTCAATGACGACAAAAAAGCTTGATAACGAGAAGGCTACACACGTTAGTAAACTTACCGTACCTATTTATCGTCCGCGTCAAGAAAGTCATCATGATAATAGTAAACGAGGAAGAAACAAACGTAATCACAATGGTGGTGCTGGAGGTAGTGGCAATAATAATAAAAGACAACAGGGAATTCCTACGTCTGGCAAGAAAGGTGGCGCAAATAGTCAAAAAAATACGTCAAAAGATAAGAATGCAACAAATATTGGTAATAATATTACCACAAAACTTGAACCTACGACTATTGCATCTGTTGAAGATATGGGCAGAGACTTGAATTCACAAGATAATCAACAATCTGGGAATAATTATTCAATCGTCTCAAGAGATGAGGATGATGTCATGATTGACAACTCTGCTATGGGCAATAATTTGACAGTCTGTGATAATGATCTGAATGAAGCTTATCCTTTCGATATTAATGTGGGAGGAAGTATGACAAATGTTGAGGGAAATATCTCACCCTTAACTCACTCATCCGATTCCCTAGACGAAGAAAATAATGACATCTCCGCATCAGTTCTCCGTCATCATCATCAACACATCGCTGATTCAGAATTATCTAATGACACGAGTATGCACGATTTTTCCAGTGAATACGTATTATATCAATACACTAGCGATCAAGAGAGAGATGCTGTCTTAAGACTACCCGATCTAGAAAGAGATGCGGTCTTAAGATTGCCTGGCCAATTTGTCGGTTATGATACTTTTGTATATTTGAATCCTGCACGTAATGCACCTACTATGGAATTGGATATGAACTCGATGCAGAGTAGAATGCCGGAATTTTCTTCTTCAGATTCATCAGAGCCAACTTCCCCTACCGGAGATTTTGAATTTTATAATAATTCGATGTTATCGGTGACAGCAGCTGATGGAAGGATTGGACAGCAATCATCTTCGGGAATACAATCAAATCTAACATATATTAACGAGCCATTAGTCGGAACATCCTCTTCTGGAATACACAGTGCTGTATATGTTCCTCGGAATCCATCTTCCACAGATATAAATAATAGTCTCATGACAGCTTTGAATTCAGGGCTTAATTCCTCGAATGTTAATTTATCGGCTAATAATTTAATGGGAGGAGTATCAGGCAATAATAATCTTTTATATGTTAATCAACAATACTCTAACGAACAGTCGACTGCTAATTCCAATACAACAACGTCAACGTCTACAACAGCAGCAGCAACAACATCAAACATTAATGTCACACAGTCACAAGCTGTTACCTCACCACACTCGTCAAATCGTCAAACATCAACGGCAACCTCAGTATCATCGACGACAGCATCATCAGCTACTACATCCGAAAATCGACCAAAGAAAACACATTCAAACGGTGATCAACAATGTTTCAATTGTGGTGTGACTTCTACTCCCCTTTGGAGACGATCAGCTAATGATGAGCTCTTGTGCAATGCATGTGGTCTATAGTAAGTATTATTGCATTTTACCTCAATGTTTACAAAATAATTATAATTAATCAATTGCATTTTTCCTAAAGTTTGAAATTACATAAAATGGCACGACCAAAAACAATGAAGCCACATATTGTACGAAAAGACGCACGAGAAGATGAAACTACTCAACCCGTTTGTTCTAATTGTAGTACGATGACCACACCGTTATGGAGAAGAGATGAGGAAGGACAGACATTATGTAACGCTTGTGGATTATAGTATGTAACCATATTTTTCAATAATAATTATAATTATAATTTCATATACTAATAATGATTTACAATAATTTTTAGCTTTAAATTGCATCATGAAAAAAGGCCATTATCGATGAAGACTGATGTGATTAAAAAACGTCAACGATACGAAAATGGACAAAATCCTAATCGTCGACCAAGTAAAAAAACAACGATCAATAGACGACAGCCCACAACAAGAACCGCAACAATTACCACCTCCACAACAATCTATTCAACATCAATCGCAAGGAGTATATGGTCCAATTAGTGTATCACCCACGACCACTACAATGACTATTCCACCACCACAAACACCAACCGGTTCTAATTCCATCGGATCAACATCGACTCCATCGATGAATGTTCCAACTACGCTTGGACCCATCAATTTAGTAGACCAAGAACACCATCATATTTCCTCGATATCAATGCCAACGAATTCTTCGATGACTGCAGCTGCTTCAAGCCGATCTTTACACGGAAGTTTTCCGTAGATTTTTGACAGTTTTTACCATATTTTTTGCGTTAGATTTTTTTTCGCCAGTCCTTCATTTTTTCTTCTTTCTTTCTAAAGTTGGATATGAATAAAACAATTGAATTGTGTGAGCTAATTGCAACTATCAATGCGGACTTTGTGCTATTATGATACGATGCATATGCACACACAATTTTTTTTTTTTATTTGTAAACTTATTGTTGCCAGTTTTTTCTACATTACATTTTTGCATCCTTGAAAAAACTTGCACCATTTTTTTCTATCCATCATCCTGTATTATATATCCTATCCCCTTTTCTTGATTTGCTTCTTTCCCTTTCATTACAATCCGTGTTTTTAATTAGAAATGTTGTTTCGGAGTTCTTATTCAGTCGATAGTAGTAGTGTTTCCCTTTTGATGTGGCGGATATTATTGTTGTTTGATATACAATATTAGTAGTAGAGCAGCAGCACAGCAACCAAATTCTTTTATTAATTCTGTGCGCGATTTAGAATATACAGAAAATAATAATAATGAAATTTTTTTTGATGCATCTTTTTTTTATTACTGTGTAATAATCACCACCTTTTTTTTGATACCCTTAACATACCCTATCTATATACATACACATATTTTTTACTACCATTACAGTTGCTCCTGCTGCTACTGCTACTACTACTACAGCTAGTCTTGTAGTTATGTTTTTTTATCTTTCATATTAATGAATTCTTGTGTATATTATTTTTTTATGTTTATATTTTCGCACATTACTTTCTTTTTTTCATCAATATGTTTTGGTTATCTTTCTACACATGACCAATAATAATTTCCTTTTCGCCTTTCTTCCTCTACCCACTTTCTAAATAATAAATCGCATCAAGCTATTTCTTCATGCGCAAATATCAAACAACAATCATCACCCACCATAACAACTATACGTAAATATACATACGACAAGAACAATTATGAATCACTCGAAATATTAGTATCACCATTATCACCATCGTCCACTCACATATTCATCATACCTTTCTCATATACAACTCGCTTTTTTCACTCTTTTGACTCTTATTACCCGTATGCCCCCCCCCTTTTTCCACGCGTGCAAAGACAAATAAACATAGCACTCATGAAAGAATAAAATGCTTTTGTATATGTAAATAAATACACGAACCTAATAAATCAAAGAAACGAAAATAACTGCATTTGAGATGGTGACGACGATATTGGTGTCGAGAGATCATTAATATAATTATATCAACTTGATTTGAATGTATGTTAGATAGGTTAGACGAGTAGAATGTAGTGAAGTTAAGTCATCGTTACCCCTGTTTTTTTATTGTCAGATATATCATTAAATAGAGAAAAAAATTTGAACTTTTAATAAATAAGATATCCTTAGATTTTTTCTTTTTTTTTATAGAAATTGTTGCTCATTCCATTCAGTTATAATATAATATGGCCAATTGATGTTTCTCATCAGCGCGAAAAGTAAAGAATAAACGAACGAATCAGAAAAAAGTAACAAAAAAATAAATTATCACAAAAATAACGACAATAACCCTCTTGTACTTTTTCTTTTTCGTCGTCGTCCTCTCTTCTTTATCACTCAAAGAACAAGGATGATATCTTTTCTTCATCATTATGGAAGAGCAACAAACAGTGGAAGTAGTTTATACGTACCAATCCAAACCAATCAATAGCACCATCATCACAATAATCCATATAAGTAACGACGATTAAAGAGCCTTATTATTAAAATATGTGATTGGCATTTATACAAAGCGTAATGGCAAAACAGGCCAATAAACCACATTCATCTCTTCTTCCTCTTTAATAATATTATTATTGTTATCAACAGTCGACTTTTGACTATTATGTTTAAGAAAACTTTGCTCAAAAGTAGCATTCACCGCAGCCTCCAAACACTCGATACTCTGATACCCATCTTCACCATATAATTCTCGCATCTGCTCGCGAGAAAATGGGGTCGGCCGAATATACGATGGATGAGGTTCTTCGATACATATCTCTTCTTCAGAAGAGATTTCCTTAATCTGACTATTGTTCTGGTTTTTGATAGAAACTTTTTCGATTTTCGAGTATTCTTTTTCAACTTGTTAAATTAAAAAAGAGAGCAATCAATCAGTTATTATAAAACTGACGTATTTAATTTGATTGTTGAAGTGCGAAAAAGAAAGTGCGAATAAAAAACTCACGCTCAAGTTTTCGTAGCTCCGAAAATCGAAACATTGCAATAGCCTCTTCGCTCAATACAAACTCTACATTTTCTTCTTCCTCCTCTTCTTTCCAGCCATTATTTTCGTGACCTTCCTCATAATATACATCATCAGCAATTTCTTGTTCACCTTCTTGTTCCCATTCTTCGTCTCTGTTAATATTCCAAAGAGTCCAAGGAGGACTAGTAGGATTCAAAGCATGAAGAAAAAACTCTTGACGCGGACGACTAAAATGCGCAGCATGAAAATTTCGAAACCGTAGATATCGTTGCTGGGTTCTGGTTTGATCTTGAAAAAAATTTGGAGGATAATTGTGAAACATGATTTACTCTGTAAACAGTTAGCACACACAATGTTATGTATCGGTATGTAGAATCAAATAACTTTAAAGATGGCGTCATTTTCGAAATGGCGTCACTTTCGAAATGGCGTCACTTTCGAGATGGCGTCACTTTCGAGATGGCGTCACTTACGAGATGGCGTCATTTTCGAGATGGCGTCATTAGCAAATTAACGAAATTGGGTTAGCGTATGACGAATGTATGTGGTTAGTGGATTAACTAACCATGGTTAAGATGAATTTTTTATTTTTGATATGTGAAAAAGAAAAATAACAGATATGCTAGCCGGTTGGCTGTAACTTGATAGAATGGCACCTCATACACTTTCAAGATCCAAAGGTCATCACCCAAATTCACCTCAATTAGTTCCATAATTGATCTTATTTTGAAGAAACAAATGTTCAACATGATGTAAATCCAAAATACCGGTCAAATTAGAGGCCAACTTTTCTAATTCACTGGCTTTCAGCGGGACATCCGGTTCATTTGAGAAAGTCAAAACCTCTACAACCCAGAAATTTTGAGGATCGAATGGTTTGAGGGAAGTTGGGTCGTGTAAGTTTTCTAGCTAGGTGAAATGAAAAAGATAACCATAAAGATGAGGATGGTAAAAAATTTAATAAAATCATAATTAATTACCTCATATATTTGAGTAATAGATATTTTTATAATATCTTCATAAATAAATACACTTCCTTTTCTTACGAATTCAAATGCAAACCTATCGAGTGAATTGAATTATTATTATTTAGTATTAATATTAATGTCATTCACGCTTCTTTTTCTTGCCTGTATCCTAGTGCTCGCATAAAGTTAAACGTGTTTCCTTGTGTTATACGTGAATATATAACACGACGAACTGTAACTTTTTTCTCTGTTGTTTCAGGGTGTCCAATTTGACATAATTGCCTAATTTTCAATGTTATTATTATTTGCATCATTTATAAGCACAATATAACAACTTTTTTAATGCCTACCATTGACGTTGACTCAAATCTTTTTCGTCAAGTGGAGACTTTAGTCTGAGTAAAACGTCCTCATTACGCGCCGGTCCCACGGGAGTCTGAACTATTCATATATAAATTTATAAATTAATCCATGAATCTTTGAACGGATATTAAGTTCAAAGGGAAAAAAATACGCGTTAAAATAAATATAGGCGTATACTTACGGGTCGGAACGAAACCAAATTCCAACTCAAAGATATCGACAGGTTCTTTACCACATATTCCCATGAGTCGTTCAAATAACTTTGGTTTTAGAGGATTGGAAATACGACCATATAGTAAGCACTCAAATGTCATGTTTTTGATATCAAATAAGGTGAGTTCTGTTGCTATGCTCTTCTCACTAATAATTAGAATAATTGATTTTATAATATCACGGCATTTAAATTACTCTACAAAAGTTTAGAATCGTGACGAAAACATTCTTTTCTACATTGTCTTGGCAGAAAAAACGAACAAATTTTTTTGATCTTCAGCTGTGGCACCACAGCCCAATCGATATTGAATAGGAAATGATTGATACTTTCTCTCGCATAGTTTCGTCCTTAAAACACCTGTTTCACTTATAAAACTTGTTTTCAAGGCAAGCTCTTGCTTCTATATTTTTTAATACTTTTCACTTTTCCCTCGTTTCAATACTTCTCACTGCTACTCAGGTTTCCTCTACGCTTGGTGTTTTCTCGTGTACTCTTCGTCGCTGGCATAGAAAAGGCAAAATCACAGCGTTTCGTTCACCAAATAGTGTGCGCCTTTATGATGTTTCCAACATCCTGGGACCCACCGCCTCCTCCTCCTCTCTCCCTCTTCCTCTTCTTCCTATACTGTCACCTCTCGAGCTTTGCCGTCGCCAAATCCAACTGGCTATATCTATACGCGAGTCTCAAGCGCAAAACAGAAGGCAGATCTCGAACGGCAACAGCAGCTCCTCCTCAACAAATATCCCTAACATAAGCTCGTCTCAGATATTGGGAGTGTAATCAACTTCAAGCGAGCTGGGTTACGCTCCTTATTGGAACGCTCGCGCCGCGGACCGGTCAAAGAGGTAACTTTTTTTTTCTTTTTTTTATAGATCATATATAACCCATTTTTTTTAGATTGTACTTACCCAAAGAGACCGTCTCTGCCGCTTCGCATTTGATCTCCTCACCTACACACCCCTACAATATATCACCGGAAATTTCAAAAATGAATTTGTCACTTTTGAACCCGATATCTTGACATCCGGTGACCCCATTCGAACAGAAATATCACCATTAAATTCGTCTCGACTATACGAATCTAATGGTGATACTTTTTGTTCGAATGGGATCACCGGATGTCAAGATATCGGGTTCAAAGTGACCAATTCATTTTTGAAATTTCCGGTAATATATTGTAAGGGGGTGTATGTCTTCCAACTCAATGGGACAAAAGTTGTGGTTCTCTCAATAGGTGATGCTGTCCCCGATAACTCCAGAGAGCTCGCAGATGATATCAACACTGTTTCATTTGCCGGCTTCAAGGCAGACGAGCGGGACAGTATTGGCGGCTCAGACGACAACAGCAGCAAGAAGCCCTAACACAGAAAATTGCACCGTCGCAAGAAGCGACGAGTGATAGATATGGTAACACGGTCAATGAAGGTGAGAGTATATCCGAATACGAAACAAAAGCAATGGATGGGCTATGCTAGGTAAGTTGGTAAGAAGTTGTAAATATTGTAAGAGAGATCACTTGAAGGTTTTTTTATTAAACTTATTATGAATATCTTGTTTTTAATAGGGTTGTATACAACATGTTAGTTGCTAATTATCGGCGGATGAGGCATTGTACACAACAATACTTATTCTGTATCTTTCTCAAGCATGAGATTAGGACTACTCGGCGCTGGCACTTTATGAAGATGGTTCCCTATGAGGTTCTGAACCATGCAATCACCATAGCAATTCAAGCACGGGACGAAGTTAATTGCCGAAATATGGAACTTACAAAGATGAAACAGAGATCGCGACATCGACCTAGCTTTGCAACTAAAAAGAATCCTATCCAAACTATTACGATCCGTGCCCAATACTGTCGGACCCTGATCATCCACGTCACAAAGCGAAACCATCACTCCATCACGAACACCGGCGACGGAACAACAATGAGGGGCAGGTTGAGATGGACCCGAAACTTTCGTACAATAAGCATCTTAAATAATGGAAAAGAAGATCACCATTAGAAAAAGAAATTATCGAAGAAAAGATTGATAAAATGTTAAGCAAAATATTATCTCACCATCTGATAATCCATGGTCAGCACCAGTAGTCATAGCAAAGAAGAAAAGTGGAAAATTTAGATTTTATGTTAATTATAGACAATTAAATAAAGTTACAGTAAAAGATCAATTTCTATTACCATGAATTGATGACTTACTAGATACTTTTGGAAAAGCCAAATATTTCTCAACACTTGACCTTACTTGTGGATATTGGCACATAGAAGTAAACCAGAAGATAGAAAGAAAACTGCTTTTATCACCAATGAAGGATTATATGAATTTAACATCTTTATATGGATGTATGGCAAGGAAGTTGTACCAATCCGCGAAGAACAAGCGGAGGTAAAAGTCTGTGCCATCGATCCTGGTGTTAGGACCTTTTTAACATGATAAGATTTTTATTATTCTTTAACTTGAATTATTTCAACTTGTTATCAATTCATAATATATCTATTACATTTATAAGGTATTCACCCATACAAGAACATGGCTGCTTTGGAAGAATGACATCCAACGTATTATCCGACTTCTTTTTGCTCTTGATAGTTTAATCTCGTGCACCTGTCAGGCACCAGCACGACGACGAGGAAAGTTTTACCGTGCACAAGCACGCATGCGTCAACAAGTGAAAAATCTTATTTATGAGTGTCACAAGAAGGTGGCACTAATGGTTTTAAGGACATTTGATGTAATTATTATTCCAAGATTCAATTCACATGCAATGGCTGGAAGAGAAGATTAAATAGACGCACAGTGCGAAAAATGTTGACATGGAGCCATGGATGTTTTCTTAATAGATTGCTCAATAAGGCAGAAGAGTTGGGAAAAAGGTTGTTATTGCGTCCGAGGCATGTGGGTGGGTTAATCAGAGCTTGGGTGGCCAGAAGGTCTTTAGATGCCAGGATTGTAAATGGACAGTAGATAGAGATGTAAATGGTGCCCAAGGGATCTTCTTGAGGAGCCCTCTCTTCCTTGAAAGGTTGGCTGTTTAAGTTGGTCTCAATGAAGGCTTTGCCTGATGGAGCTGCACGCAAGTGTACTGAGTGAAAATTACTTGACTCGTGTTGACTAGACATAATTAGTAGTGATCGCTTAGACCCATCCGTAAGATTAATGCATTCAGAGAATCAGAAATAGGCAGCAGCTCAGAATATATGATTCGCGAGATCCTTGGAAAGAAGTCATTTTGAAATTATTTTACATACAACTCTTTCTATTACGTATCACTGTTATTCACCGTTTATTATGATTTTCCATAACAACTCATGAGATCATTAAAAAGATGGTATTATACGGAGAGCGAAGAGACAGAATATTAACAGAATTATGTTCGAAAAAAAGATGAATATAAAAATTTTCGTTTTACATCTATTCTTAAAACCATTATACACATTGACCTTTCACAGCCAATATTTTCAACGCATAAAAACATAATAAATAAAAATAAAAGTTATTATAAGAATAAATATTAAATAACACATAAATTGTCCACTTTGTTTTTCCGAGAGGGTTTTTAAACGGTTCATTGTTCCACTCATATATGAACCTGTTTTTGAATAGTCATCTGCCTGTTATATAATAAGTTTAAAGTTAATAAACGGTTTCTTTCCCCATTGTAAAGAAAGACATTCATAAAAATCACTAACCATATTGCTAAGTATGGTATTTGATTCTTTGACCGATTCTCCTATACTTAAGGTTATCTAGCAGTTTATCAATTAATGATATTCAATAATTATGGAAAAAAAATTGACGAAATTACGAGAAAAACAACAACTTATTACTGACCTCCTTTAATAGTTTAACTTTACCCGTCAGACCCTCTAGCTGTTCATCATTTTGACTTTCTAGATCTAAATGCTGACTTCCACTTGAACTTCCATTTAACAAGGTTCGATCGCCCCCAGAACTCCTAGCTTCATTAAATAAAGCAGAACGATTTTCCCGATGATTGAGATGTTGGTTATATGTTCTACATGTTAATCGATAAGATAGTTTAAAGTGAATTGAAAAGTCAAAATATGGTCGAGAAAAATATAAAATTTACCTTACTGAGCGACTGCCTGGATTCATTGTGTCGAGCGTGCCTGGAGGAAATATTTAGCCAACCTATATGTAAATTGTTAATTGTTAATTTGTAAAATGACACGTTTCTAGTCTTTTGATCAGCTGTGCAGCATTCATAATAATTCATAATCATGAGTCATGTTAATGTGTAGTTTATTCATAAATTCGAGAAGACCGAAAATTTCCAGAATTAAGGATGGCTGATTCGACACCGGTTACCGAACAAAGCACTAGTGCTCCAAAATCGAAGAATGCTGAAAAAAACGAGGCTAAAAGAAAAGAAAAAATGGCTAAATTCCTTGCAAAACAAGAAAAATTAAAAGCAGCAACGACTACAAGTGTAGATTTCTTTTCTTCTGTTAAAAAATAATTAATTTCTTCTCTAAGGTGGTTTCTCTGGTATTTTTGCAAAATAGTCCGAAGGGTCAAAAAAAGAAAAAGCTAAAACAAAAAAAGCTCTTGAATCTCAAGAATACGTCGAGAACACACCAGAAGGAGAAAAGAAAGGTTTGGTTAAACTTTATCGTGTAATTATTTGCGTGCATCTTTGTTTCCCTGCCTTTACTTACCCAAATATTAAATTTATGAATGAATTCTATAAGACATGTCTCGGCCGATGGCGACAGCATACAATCCAAGAGCGGTCGAGTCTGCTTGGTATGCTTGGTGGGAAAAAGAAGGATACTTCAAACCCGAATTGACAGCAGATGGCAAACCTAAATCTGCTGGTCTTTTCGTAGTTCCTATCCCACCTCCAAATGTCACTGGCTCTCTGCATATAGGTCATGGTTTGACCATTGCTATACAAGATTCATTAGTGCGATGGTTTGTAGACTAGGAATTCGACAGTGTATTATTTGTTCATAATTTACTTATTTTTTTTGATTGGGGTTTTTTAGGAATCGGATGCTTGGAAAGACTGTTTTATACAATCCTGGCGTGGATCACGCGGGTATTTCGACTCAATCTGTTGTCGAAAAGAAACTTTGGATTGAAAGCAAGAAAACGCGTCATGACCTTGGCCGTGAAGAATTCATTGAAGAAATTTGGAAATGGAAAAATTTGTATGTGTTCATTTAATTATTTATATTGCGAGTCACACCAAATGATGTTAATAATGTTATGAAAGATATGGACATAAGATCACTGTCCAATTAAAGCGACTCGGTGGATCTTATGATTGGAACCGTTCAGCCTTTACACTGGACGAGGTAGGAATCACTCGCAGAAATTTTATCTCTTTTGTATGTTACTATGCAAAATCCTTACATGAAAATTTTCTTCTTTCTAGAAACTTTCAAAAGCTGTCATAGAAACTTTTTGTCGTTTACAAGAAGAAGGAATAATTTACAGGGCGACACGATTAATCAATTGGTGTGTGCGACTTAATACTGCCTTGTCTAATTTGGAAGTAGAAAATAAGGAACTATCAGGGCGCACCTTCTTATCAGTCCCTGGGTATTCCGCAGATGAAAAATTTGAATTCGGAGTTTTAACTTCTTTTGCCTATCCCGTTGAAGATTCTGGTATTACTTGATGCTTTCAATCATTAAATTCAATCTGTCATAGAATTTTTTATTTTCAATATTGACTTGCGATTTTACATAATAGATGAAAAACTTGTTATTGCTACAACGCGTCCTGAAACCATGCTTGGAGATACTGCCATTGCTGTTCATCCTCAGGATCCACGTTATAAGGTTACTATAATTTAAATATTATAATAAATTTATTCTTTTGGTGTCTCATTTATACAATTTTTATCATCAGCATTTGCATGGTAAATACGTGGTCCATCCATTCAATGGACGGCGTCTTCCGATTATTACCGATGACGTATTTGTAGACATGGAATTTGGCACTGGTGCAGTCAAGGTTACTCCCGCTCACGATTTTAACGACTACGAAGTTGGTAAACGACATAATCTTGAATTTATTAATATTCTTAATGATGATGGAACTGTGAATGAAAATGGAGCTCAATTTGAAGTAAGTCGCAATTTGTCTTTTTTCACCATCAAAAGCTTAGTTTGATTAAAAATGGATTCAAGTTGGTCATTTTTTTGAATTGGGTTAACAGAATGAATAGATCCATGCAAAGTTGATGTCCATATAGGAAAATGAGACTCAAATTTTTAGACATACTTGGATGTATCTATGGTGATGAATTTAGTTCTTAATGCATGTTCAAAATTCTCGTCAACGATCATGCAAGATGAAACCACGATAATTTATTTATATGACATATCTAACCATTATATCTTAACTATTTATTTTTTGTTTGTCCTTTCACGACAACTAGGGAATGAAACGATTCCATGTTCGTCGAGCAATAATAGATGCTTTAAAAGAAAAAGGTCTATACGTAGAAAGTAAAGCCAATCCTATGACTGTTCCATGTTGCGCGTAAGAATTAAAGATTTTTTGTAATTGTCATTGCATTTTTGGAAAAACGTACATTTATTATTTTCCAGTAAATCAGGGGATATTATCGAACCACTATTGAAGCCTCAATGGTGGGTTAATTGCTCAAGCATGGCATCGGAAGCAATAAAGGTAGATTTAGTTTCCCAAAAATTAAGATATCGGCAAAAATTTTGCTTATATTAAATCGTTCTTGATTGTTAGGTAGTGAGAGATGGAAAACTTCGAATTCGCCCATCGACCTCGGAAGGAGATTGGTTCCGCTGGCTTGAAAATATTCGCGATTGGTGTATTTCACGTCAATTGTGGTGGGGACATAGAATTCCTGCGTATTTTGTTAATATTGAAGGAATGCAACAAGACGTAAGTAATAAAAAGAATGATAATTTCTCAATAGAATTGTTTTATTTAACGGACCTTTTTTGGCGAAATGATTAGCAATCGGTTGACACTTATTGGGTATCAGGTCGTACTCTCGAAGAAGCAGCTCAGAAGGCAAAAAAGAAATTTCCTGATGTCCAATTTACGCTCGAGCAAGATCCTGATGTATTGGATACTTGGTTCTCTTCGGGATTATGGCCATTCTCTATTTTTGGGTGGCCTGAACAGGTAATGAACTTTGTTAAATAGCAAGAAATTTCTATAATATTGAAAGCTTATTTATAATGATATTCTGCTCTTGAAAATTACAGACCAATGATTTGTCGTTGTTTTATCCGACATCGCTCCTTGAAACTGGATGGGATATATTATTCTTTTGGGTAGCTCGCATGGTAATGCTTGGCATTAAACTTACTGGCCAAATTCCATTTAGTGAAGTTTTTTGTCATGCCATGATTCGTGATGCACATGGCCGCAAAATGAGCAAATCCCTTGGTAATGTGATTGATCCAGTTGACGTAATGGAAGGAATATCCTTGGAAAGATTACATGCTAAGCTATACGAAGGAAATCTTGACCCGCGAGAAATTGAAAAAGCAAAAACTGGTCAAAAAGCTGATTATCCTAACGGAATCCCGGAGTGTGGAACAGACGCTTTGCGATTCACTTTATGCTCTTACAGCACCAATGAAGGTTGCTTTTAATATCGGCTTATTGTCCTTTTATTTTATTATTCTTTTTTCTGAATTTTTATTATTTTTGTGCCAGCTCGTGATATCAATCTCGATATATCTCTGCTAGAAAGTAATCGTCGATTCTGTAATAAACTTTGGAATGCAACTCGTTTTGCGTTAATGAAATTGGGCGATGATTTTAAACCACAAGCAACTTTTCAGGTAAAAGCATCTCAGTTAAAATATCTTGGTAACTGTTCTTAATCCGAACTAATCGATTTTTACTAACATAGAAAACTGGCAGAGAATCTTTAGCAGAAAGATGGATTCTGCACAAATTGAATGTAGCGGTAATCGAAACAAACCAAGCTCTACATGAACGAAACTTCAAAGAAGCTACCAGAGTAGTACAGGCATTCTGGCGAGACTCGCTCTGTGACGTTTATATTGTAAGTCTTTATGTGTGGCAAAGTTATTTTAGTAGATTAATGAAATATTGAAACATAATCTATTATAGGAATGGATCAAACCCTTCTTCTCTGCCGATGCTGACTTGGAACATCAAAGATCTGCCCAAGACACATTATATACATGTTTGGAAGCAGGTCTTAAATTACTTCATCCTTTTATGCCTTTTGTGACAGAGGAACTATATCAACGCTTACCACGGAGATTAGGGGATAATATACCCACTATTGTCAAATCCCAATATCCTCTAGAGGTATTTCTATTTGAAAGTTAATTTTTTAAGTAATCAATCGTATAGCGAAAATTAAAACTATTTATTATTAGCAATCTGAATATGATGATCCAAAAGCTGATAACGAATTCGAAGTCATATTATCAGCATGTACAACAGCACGAGGATTAATAGATAAATACAAAAAGCAAACGAATCCCATAAGTAAGTTATTACGTTTCTTTTTTTTATTGTTTCTGTTTTTAGCACCCGAGTTTAATGTCATTTTTCTTTAGTTTATATAGAGAATACCGAAAAAGCGTCGAATCCAACTATTTTCAATACATATACAGAAAACATTCATTCTTTAATTAAAGGTGCAAAATCTGTCCAAGTAATCCCAAAAGCTCAGTCGCTTCCTGTAGTTAATGAGACAAGAGAGACAACGTTAGAGATAAAAATCTCTATTGGATTCAATTAGATAATCATTACACAATATTGATCAATTATTGATTTTGTGTTATTTAATTTCGATCTAACAATAAATTTTTATATAATGAAGTTAGTTTAGTCTCGTACTTTAGCACGATAATAATCAAATAATGAGCTCTATATAGGTTCTATTTTAATAGACTGTTTAGTCACGACATAGTTACGGCAGTTAAGTTTGCACCCTAGTGTAAGCTACCCCTCTTCCTCTTGAGATCACGAAAGCTTAGGATACACATGAAACCCGATAGGTTATTTTTGCATTTTCTTTTAGGATGCTGACATTTGTTACTTTATTATTTGATATAGACCCCATATATATGATGCATCATTTTTAATCTTTTTGAAAATCCTCCACCCCTAAAATACTACATAATAAATGTCAGCACCCTTATCATATGTACTCTTCCTCTTCTCACACCGCAAAATAAAGCTTTAATTTGAATATCAAATATGAAGTCAAGAAATATCGTATAAAGAATTTTCCCAAGTGTGTTTAGGTGGTTTTATTATATATTAATGCTGATTAATAAATAAGATGGTGCTATTCTGATTATGGAGATGTGTGATACACTAAAACAAAAAAATGGCTAATTTGATTCCACGACAGATTTAACTCGGCCAAAATTACCAAATCTAAATCATTTTGAGTCAAATCAGCCCATATGATAGGAAAATAAAGTTGAAATTGATAATAGAATGTAAAGTGGAGGAAAAAAAATGTTCTCAAAAATGTGTGTAGAAATTAGTGATTGAAGCATTATAAAGAAATAAAAAACAAAATTTTACATCTAATATATGAAATTCGTGGTGGAAAAAATAAATAAAGACCAATGATTTAAGTGATTGTCTGTTTGAATGTGAATGAATTGCTTGATATATAAATATAAACATAAAAAATAATTAAGTAGATAAAAAGCTAATAAGATTTAAATATTATAACCAACAAAATCACAACAAAACTTGCACTCAACAATTAAGAAATAAATAAAAGCAACAATACGCTACTCTTCTCTCTCACTTTCCGATAATTCGCCACCACCTCCTCCATCTCCACCTCGTCCACTTCGACTAGTATCCCGTCTATACGGTAAATCCGGCAAATCGTCCGGATTTTGTAAATAACTCAGTTCGGGAAATGCGTCATATGTACTTTCCGCGTCATTACTTGAATACAATTCAAGTTGGCTGCTATTGGCTGAACTAGTCGTCAATCCACTGATCGTTCTCGTTTCGTCATCATCTGTATTTACCGAATCAGTGTTGTAACCAGATGTTTCATCGTAATAGGAAGAGTTTGTGTATGAGGTGCTAAGACATGATGATGTTGTCGGGGATTTTGGAAGACCACTTTCATTATTATTGTTATTGGTATTGTTGTTGTTGTTAAGGTCGTTAAGGTTGTTGTTAATGTTAATGTTGTTATGGTAAAGAATGTGGTTCAGTGGACTACTTTGCATTATTCCGTTAGCTATTTGATGATTTGAAAATGGGAACCGTCGAGATGCATTAAGAGGTGGTACTGATAGACTACGCCTATGATTTGCATCTGTGTCATTTCTTGAATTGGCGTTCTGTTCTTCCTCCATTTTCAGCAAGTAATTTTCAAAAACTTGATCTAAAAAATTAGTATTTTGATAAGAGTAAGTAATCGCACATCCAAAAAAATATCCACAGCTATTATTATAGTTATTTATTAATATACCTAAGCCAAGTGCATGCGAATGTCGAGCACCAACAGAATTCAACGCTTGACTTACACCCGCTGTTAAAGATGAGGTGGAAAATCTTCCATGAATCATTGAACGTAATAAGCTATCGTGTTGATTATATTCACTAGACAATAGAGGCGTAGATGAATGTGCGGCATGTGAATACATAGATTGTCGTCGTGGAATACTTGTAGCTCTTGCTCGTTGGCCAACATAAAGAGCATACGGAGTATATCTATGTTCCAAATCATCAGCTTCATCGTATATACCATGACTATCTGGCCGAACATGATGAAAAGGATCAATAGATAGACTGCCTACACGAGAAAGTGGTGGTCGTACTCCTAGTACCGATTTATTACGATTCGAGGTAATAAAATACACGCCAATAAAAGTCGATAGACATCCAGCCAAAAAATAGAGACCTTTCAAAAAACCCATTTCTGCAAAATCATTGTATAATAATGCACTCCCAATTATTGCGGACATAGTAAACAATACGAATTGTGTGGGAATTACTTGCTACCAATTGATTTGATTTTTTGATTAAAAGTCAAAAAACAATCATCAAACATTTGAAATAAAAAATCCAAAGTTTTTTAATGTGAAATCGACTTACTGTTGAATCAAACCTTTGCAATGCTTTATTAAGATATTTTATTTGTGCTACTGCAGTCACGATTAAGACAAACAATAAAAACCAAGTTATCCATGCTTCAAACATCAGAACAAATGTCATAGTCAGCATGGATGAAATTGCTTTCGTCGATAGCACAGTATAACCACCTGAAATTGATTATGTATAATAATAGTATATGAATAGGTCATGTGTTAGCTTATAATGTAAAAATAAATAACACCCTAAATAATGACAACCAAAAAAAATCAACATACCAAATAACGCGACTAACGATAAGTCAACCAAGATAAAATGCGGGCCAATCTTATCAGATACGGACATTAGACAAACAATAGTGAAAATAGTTATTCCAAAGTATATTAGAGAGTTGGTTTTTGACATGGCAGCAATTATCGCAACAGGATCAAGCTAAAAAAAAAGTTAAATAATATATGAATGTAATCGAGATATTGATATGATCTATAAAATCCAATAACATTATAAAAGATATTAACCTTAACCTCGTCAGTTTTTGAGTTGATGACAACGACAATCGCTCCTATAATCGCAATTGCTACTCCCAATAAATCTTGTTTCCGAAAAGTTTCTTTAAGCATCATTGGAGCAAGAATCACATTTGATATTAACGCTACTGTTCCCAGTGGAGCTACTAAAGAAGCTGGTGCAAAAGCATAGGCAATAAAATTGCCCACCTCACCTAAAGTTAAATAAATAAATTGGTGACAAAATGATATGAAAGACGTATCAAACAATATAAAAATCTAATACAAACTCACCAGTTAGCATAAGCAGTACACCAAGCCACCAAGCCTTTGAATGCAAATATAGATAATCATCAGTTTCGGGATTTAAAAGAGCCTCGTATCTGTCAGAGGTGGGGCGATGCGAACGAGTAGCATTAGTTGAATAGCTCGCGGAACGTAGTTTGCTGAGTTGAAGCTCTTCCAACTCATTATGTGCGTATTTTTGAACGTTGAGCGCGACAGAAATCAAAATCTAACGAGAAACACGTCAAAGTAAGTCACATGATGGTTAGTTTTCATTTATTTAATAAGGGAAAGTGGAAGGGCACGCGTAACAATAGTCGATGTCATGAGAATTAGGAAGAGATTAACCATATAGGTTTTATTTAAAAAAGTAAAATTACATTTCCAGTTACGGCGAAAATAACACCAATAAAAGATTTGACCTCTGGTAAGGGTAAATTGTAAATTGGAGGCCACATTGCTTTATGCTAGTAATGAGCGACAATGGTGGACATTGAGCCTTGTAAAAACAAAGAACGGCTCGCGTTTAAGGGCACGATCACGAGATACGTATGAAAACGAAATAATAAAACAAGTAGGTTTTGTAATTATTATTTTATTTGTTTATTTAGGTATTAAAGATGAAAGGGTTCTGTCCGGACCACCACCACCGATATTTTCTCGAGAGTACCTTGTATGGGCGACCAGTCTTTCCTTTGGTCTCCAACCAGATGTTATCATTATTTCACACCTTTTGAAACTTTGTTTCCGGTTTGTGCGACATTCCCTCCCGAAATATGCAGCTGTAAATAAGGGGGAAATCGACCAAATGTGGAAAAGACGAATCAAATGATTATTTGCTATATCAATTCTTGGCCAAAAAAATCTAACAGTGATAGAGTATCCTAAAACTGGCAAAAAATAATGCATTCTTTCTTTGAATCTTTATCGCCGAAGATATTGAAAGTGATAATAATTGCATCACTTTTCTCTTTTGATTTTACTCACAGTCATGGATCCGCTGTCTCTCCACCTCTCAAAGCAAATACTATAGAAAATTGTAAGTGGATAAATAACATAATTACTTATTTGATCAATTGTTGTTAAAATACCTATTTCTAATAAAAAACAGTATACATGTACCTATGTCTTGATACGACACATAATCCAATACTACAAATGACGCTATGCGATATGTCACGAACTAGTCTTACCCAAAATAGATTTTCTCTGGGATTTTTGCAGCAGAGTTTTGAGGGATGCAAGAATCCAATGATTATTTATGGTCCGGACAGTGGTTCTGTGTATGATTATTTCTCGATTATATTTTCACATAAAATAATGACATTATAATTGAAATTGCAATCAATTTTGTAATAGAATTGCATGGAACCAAGCTGAAAATATAGTTGTCCAAAGCACATTACCAGTGCCAGAAACTGCATCATATAAATGGTGTTCCGAGGAATCTTCTTTTGAGGCAAGAAGAAATTCTTTAATAACTTTCGATGATTTGCATCTTATTATTGATTCTACATTATACATAAATAGGACGCATTCCTTCTTCACCCATACAATTATACATCCCAATGCTTGTCAGCTCCTTTAGATCCAAAAGATCCGATTACTGTTGCTTCTTGTCGACCTACTTCCGACGCTGGGTTTATGATTATTGCATGGAATATACTCTATGGAGCTCCAATGACCACCACTGCTACGAAGGATAATTCTGATGAATTATGATAGAAATGCAGAAAATATTCTTAGAAGAAACTTAAATACTTGGATTGATAGAAATATATTTTCTTTCATCAGAAAACAAAAAATGTTAACTAAACGCCGACATATTATCAAGATTCAGTCTCAAGTCAACGATTCGTTCGGATCAGTCATGTTGGCCCGGCACCATGAGATAGGCGAGGCATTTAAACTATACCAAAAAGCCGCCGACCTTTTGCCATGCATTTTGAAGGTTATTACGACGATATAGACTAAGCAATTTTTTGGATTTCCTGCTGAACATAAACATATTTTTTTATTTATTTAAAATCACAATCTGATCTTTCAATGTATACAAGGAAAGCCCTAGTAAAATAATTATTGTTAGCATGGCTTGCTTGAAATGGATTATTTCTAGTTTTTATATTGAACACAGAATTTTAAATCTTAAACTTGAAATAAAATTATCAATTTTCTAAATTTATTACAAAACCATAATTTATATAAAAAATGACTAAATTAATTAATCAAGAGCAGCGATTTGATTCAGATGAGCGGCAAGAGGACCATGATGTGATAGGTATTTTACATAAGCACCATCTGGCTGCAAAAGACCAGCTTGACGTTTCTCCACATACTCTTCGCGAGATAACTTTGTAAAGCCCCACTTTTTGGAGAGGATAATCTTTTGACGACCGGGGAACTTGTACTAAAAGAAAGACAGACAAATTTATTCAAAGAACAAGAAACATCCGTATACAAAATAAATAGCTACCTTAGCACGACGAAGAGCCTCAATAACAGTAGCCTTATTGCCGTCCTTTGTACGCACAGAGAAAATAATCTGCCCAATATTGATACGTGCAACAGTGCCAGTCGGTTTACCAAAGGCACCACGCATTCCGGTCTGCAATCTATCAGCACCGGCACATGACAACATTTTATTGATCCGAATAACGTGGAATGGATGAACACGCACACGCAGATGGAACGAATCTTTCCCGGCCACTTTTGTGATGTATTTATTGGCACAGATACGTCCCGCTTCTAGTGCTTCACTGGAGAGTTGTTGATGTTCGTCAGAGAGCAGGTGAATGCATAGTGGGAATTCGTCGACGCTGGCTTTTTTACGGCCTAAATCAAAGATTCTGATTTTGGGATCTTTTTGTTTTTTTGAGTTTGATTGGTTGAGTGAATTTATATCATATTACAAAAATCTAAATCTATTCTTAAGCCTACCAGGGACACCACGACAAAACCGACTCTTTGGGTATGGTTTATTTTTACAGTAGCGATAACAGCGAGCTGGACGGCGTCCCATTTCTTCTGTTTTAGCATATTAAGAATATGTATGAGATTAGCTGAATGGAAATAATGACATCTATATCTTTGTCAAAAACTATAAACCCCCCCCCCAAGGAAAAATTCACAATCTTCATTTTTACAATTTCTTTTTCTTTTACCTGCTAAAAACCAAACAATAAAATATCGAAAAAAAACTTGCCTAAACGTAAACTTCAAAAAAAAGTAAAAAAAATCTGAACACCAAAAAAATGATCGATGGATCTTTTTACGCAGTAAATATCGATATGTATATATATCGATATTAAATCAACTTTCTCGAACAAGCATTGAAAGAACTATTTATATTTTATTTTTTCTGCGCTTTTGCTTACAAATAAAAAAAGTTTCTTTTTCTTTTCGCTTAATAATAGTAAGCATATTATTTACGTTTAACCGAAATAAATGTCACATGATGATGCAAAAACCAATGACATAACGCGCGTTAAATTTTAAGGTACATCTGACTTGGCGTTAGGGTACTAATAAAAATGTTGGGAGGCAATTCTACGCATAACCTTGACTCCTAAAATCAACCTTTAACATTACAGTATAATTTTCCGGGATCGACAAAACCTGGCAGAGTGCATATATAATCAATTACCAAAGACAGAAAAATTCTACTGTAATATTAAAGTAGCCCCAACATTTTTTATTAGTGCACCAAGGTAGATTTAAGCATGCATTTCCTGTATTTTTCATTTTCTTTGTGTCGGATTTGTTTAAAATTTGCGTATTCTTATTGGACTGATCTAAAATTTGCGCATTCTTATTTAGTTTGTACTACCCGGCATTTTATTAACCTGTCCAGATTCAATAAATGCAAATTCGCATAATTTTTGAGGTTGAGAAGGTTGGCTCATAACGACGAAATCCACCTTTCCCGATCTGTATTGATGTACCCATTTTTTTGAATTCGGCCTGTAAAATTAAAAATATTTGTCATGTGTGGGAATACTAGATGAAATTAACACCAATTATAATATACTGGTTACTCACCGGACCATAGCGGGGAGTGTAACATGTGGGAGTCAAGCAAAAATACAACGAAACTTTTGTGCATGAAATTTGCTTTATAACCAGTAAAGACATCGTTATCTCAATATATAGTGCGCAGCACATGCATGGCCTTCTGATAAAACGAATGATTGATGGCGTCATAAGTTTTTCTATAAATAAATAGTTGTGATGGACACCAACAAGCAGACATCAATATTCCTCCTTTTCTTTTCAAGTAATTATATATATATTATTATAATTATTTGAATTATCTCCGCTTTTCCCCCTCTTTTACATTTTATACCGAGAAGATTCACAGAAAAAATGGCACTTAAACGCATTAATAAGGTAGGTAAAATTCAGGAAGCCGTAAAAAGTTCGATCAAAAGTTAAGGAGTAGTTTTGGTAAAGATTTATAAACCTATGGTTTTGATGTATAGGAACTTCTTGAACTTAATAAAAACCCTCCGGTTGGAGTGAGCGCTGGTCCATTTGAGGAAGATATGTTTCAATGGCAAGGTAACATTATTTCATGGTTTTTATAATTTTGACATCCCATCCAGTTTTCATCTTTATTCCTAATTCGTTCTGTTCTAACTTCAATTATCTTGTTCAAATGTAAATTTAGGTACAATTCTCGGACCTGTATGTATTTCTTGGTTCTTTGCTCTCTGAATTACTTGATTTACATATAAAATAGAGAATTTTGCTAATCTTTATTTCATCTAATAGCCTAATAGTCCATACAAGGGTGGCATCTTTCGTCTCAAGATTGAATTCTCTACAGATTATCCATTTAAGCCTCCTTCAGTACGTACCACTATTAATTATTACCCACATTTACTTTGTATAAACATCCTACTTAACTTTTTTGTTTAATATCTATAACAACAGATTAAATTTATTACACGAGTATATCATCCCAATATTGACGAGGATGGATCGATTTGTGTAAACTTGCTAAAGACGGACGTCTGGAAACCAGCTACAAAGATAGCACAAGGTTTTTTTTTGTTTTTAGATTTTCATGGAAGAAAATTGACAATTTTATTAAATGAAATCAATAATATTAATATAGTGCTTGAAGCGATCGCGTCTCTATTGGAAAATCCAAATGCGGATGATGCCTTGGTTACTTCCATAGCAGAAGTATATAACACAAACAGGACAAAGTTTATTAAGACTGCCAAGGAATACGTTCGAAAGGTGATTACTACTACGACTATTTTTTGTCTTTTCGATTGTTTTTACATTATGGATAAAGAATTAATAATTTTTTTTGGTTTTTCATAAAGCACGCAAGTTCATAGTATATTTACACACAATCAATTCAAAATAAGTCGAGATTCTTTGTTAACTAAGTAGCCTTTTTTTCTACGCGAATGAAACAAGAACATTGTTATAATTACTACTACTACCACTACTACTACATCTCTTCTAGTAATTTTCTTTAGACATACACGTCAAATTTGCGATTTTAGTTAGTAGTTAATTGCTCGGTTTAAATTTCTTTAATCCCAGAATAAAGAATAAAGTTCTTTTTATTGTGATATTTTTCTTTGTAAAGCTAATAATAAATATTATTTCTATGCGGCAGGAAATCCTATCAATATATTTTTACAACGGTACCAAATAAGATTATCATCATGAATTTCTTTTGTCAACTCATCTTTTGAATTTTTATCTTTTTCGCGGTTACTATTATTAGTTTTATTGTTGTTAATATTATCAATCTCAGGAACTGTGAATGGAAGCTCTTCCGAATAAATCTTCTTTAATGCGGTCAAATCTCCTCGCTTAAGTTCATCTTGTTTTTCACTTTTTGAATCACGATCATCATCTATAGTAAATTCATCGGAATACTCTCTTTTGATCGACTCGCTGTTTTTTATGCTAGCAGAAACTTCAACTTCTTGTGTGAGACTTTTATTATTGTGGTGAGCTGAATCAGTTGACTTGATTTCTTTAGCTATGATTTCATTATGAATAATTGTATCATCGTAGTGATGAAGGCGATGACGACTGTTTTGCAAATCTAAGCAAACCATAAAATAATATTATAGCAATTACTTTGTATACAAACAAATCAAACCCTTGCTTACTTCACCTTCAACATGATCAGTTGTACCACCACACATTATTGTTCCCTGACTTTTATCTAAAGCATCTTTTTCTTTCGGGACGATTTCTTCATTGAAATTTTTTATCATATCCTCATAGCTTAATTTTTTGTTATTATTTGGCATATCGTTATTCGCATTCGGAACAATATTTGTATGCTTTATTTTTGACTTCAGATTATTATTTAGCAATCCTTCACATGCAATAATGAAGGTTGGAATTTTGTTGGTATTCTTTAATTTGAAACGTTGTTTGGGAATCAGCTCAGGAGGCGGATTATTACGCGAGGTTCGGAATAAAAGGTGAAGACGTGTTGGTGCTAATTATTATTGGCAAACTTAATAATCAGTATCTTGACGTCGTAAATTTAATATTTATTAGTAAGTACCTAATGGTTCATCATTAAGTACTGTCACTAATTCTCGAGCAAGTTTCCGTTCGCTTGCCAATTCGTGTTGTTTAAGCTTCTCGCGAGTATTTTCGTTCAATTCCAATGCATGGTCGGCATAAACATTCGCGAATTTCAAGAGATATATTTCTTTGGGACTTGTCGCTGTATTTCCAAGGATAATGGTGAAATTTAAAACGGGGAGAAACTTTTGATCGTCGTTTTTGTCAAGGATGTGATTGACTGTGGTTCCAATTGAGGTAAACAAGTTCTGGGAATTCGTTAACAACTGAAGAGAGGACGTTGAACATGTTGAATGGGAAATAATGAATTTATTAATAATGAAGTTTTGATGATGATGGCTCACGTCAGAAATTTTTCTTTCAAATATTTTCTTTTGTTGGGCGTTCTAATTTTTTTGTGGAAAGAAATGAACGAATGCTTAGTTGTCCATGAATGGGTGTTTGCTTGAAACCAAATTACACTCAAATCACTTCTAACTACAGAAGTCCTTTGCGAAAGCTTTTCAACTTGTGAGAAAAGACTATAAATTAAATAATATGAGAAAAAAATGCATTCACGGAGAGGATTTCGAAACGAACAGCTTGAGAGACCAACCATGGTATTTGTCCTCGCATGAAAAGCAAGTGTTTAATGAGAGCTATGGTCAATTTGATGGCAAATGATGCTGTTACTTGATGGGTAAATGAAATTTTCGTGGAGTTTATGGGACTTGTTACTCGCATTGTTATTTAATTTTAATTGTCAAAGGAAATGTGCTAAATAGTACACACGACAAAAGACGCGTTTTTGTCCTCGAGAATGGGTTGATCCATCATATATGATATATATTCAATTGTCACGCCCATTGATGTTTCTTTTGCTGTTATAATTTTAATGTGATTTGATAAGCGATAATTCGAATAGCGAGAGAGATAAAGCGACTTGTGTAGTTTTTTACAGGTTTTCATTTGTGGTATTTTCTTTTTTTTCTACTACTCATAACATAGTTTAACTAGTATCAAGCTCGATTTCTAAAAAAAAGTTTAAATAAACAAACAAAACAAACAAACAAAATAAATAAATAGTTTGCATTTGTCCGCCGCAACTTCTTTTACATATAATGACACAAAACAAGTCTGAAGAAGAAGTAGTAAACGAAGTCATGGAACAACTTGTAGATTTCGACGGAGGTGCAACAACCGAAAATAACACTGAAAAAACAAAAAATGGGGGAGGTGTCACTGCTGAAAGTTCCAAGGAAGAATCGGCGATAAACAAGGTCGGCGGTGAAGTGGTCAAACAAGAAACGAAGCCCTCGGATAACGGGACTGTTAACACTAAAGCTGTAGAGAACGGTGAGGAAAAAAAGGAAACTAATGGTGAAGGCACTGCTGAACCAACTAAAGACGTGAAGGAAGAAGTTGCTGTTTCCGATGAGTCGTCGCCACCCCCAGACGGCGAATATGAAGTAGAAGTGATTGTGGACCATAAAAGAAGGATGGTAAATAAAGAAATATAATAAATTAGAAGGTCAAATATTGATTGATTATCTTTATTCTAATCTCTCTGTGTGTGTGTGTCCGCGTAATGTTTTGCTTAACAGGGGAAAATGACGTATTTGATAAAATGGAAAGGTATATAAAAAGGATTCTCGTCTTTTCTTCTTTCGCGCGTGATGCTCTACTCACGCTCCGATCTTTTGTGATTCATGCGCTAAACGTTATAAGGCTACGGCGAAGATGAAATGACTTGGGAACGTGCAGAGGATTTGTATGGAAAAGCTTATTTTGTTCATTTTCAAATTGTCCGAAATTTGTTAAAAAAAAAAAAAAAAATACGATTTCATTAATCGATAGATTCTGCGAAGATCTTGTAAACGACTATTGGGAAAAGACAAACAAAGAAGCTCAAGAGAAAGCCAAGTATGGAAATTTGAAGTCCAGCCGAAGAGCTAAAAGCACCACATCAACCCTGGGTAGAAGCAAAAGTACCGCGTCGACCCAGAGTAAATCTGAATTTGGTAAACGTAGTCGAACCAAGGAAAAAGGGGAGGAAAATGAACAACGACCACGTAAGCAGAGAAAGAAACAAGTCGAGGACGAAGAAAGTGATTGGGAAAATCAAGTGGTGTCTGTCGAAACTGTTACTCGTGATGACAAAACTGGAGAATTAATGGTCTTTTTGAAATGGTAATATATTTTTTAACACTTGATCCGGTAATACGTGAAGTTTCATAAGACACTGGGTAAAACAACTTGAGCAACAGCATTCGATTTGTGTTAGGAATCTAATAATAAATTATTAGATTCACAATTTATTAATTGTTATTTAATAAAATAGGACTAACGGAGAAACGTCAAAACACCCAAGTAGGGAAGCTAACCTCAAGTGCCCACAAAAGGTATTCCATATGATGGTAACGATAAAACCTAATCTTTCAAATATAAAAAATTCTTATTTATCTATCCGATTACAGATGATAAGATTTTATGAGCAACGCTTGACTTTCGCACCCCCTGCAAACACGACTCCAGCAAATACTACTACTTCGAGCACAACAGCTGCGAATACAACCTCGACAACTACAAAGACTTAAGAATAATATATATTATTCATTGTCCCCGTCATTCAATTATATTTTTTTTGATGACGACGAATTAATTAGTTCAACTAAATGTATATAATCTTTTTTGCTCTCGCTTCTTTTATACTTTTTTCTCATACACACTCGCATGCTCTTTTATATTTCAAATTTGGGTTATATTGGAATATTTGAATAAAATATTTCCTTTTTTTTATTTCACACCACTTTACAATCTTAGAATAAAAGTTTGGGGCGAATAATTTTTTAGCTAATAAATATGTGTGGTCCGAATTGTGTGTATTTGTGTCTTTTATAATAATAGCGCTAAAAATATTAGAATAAGAGATCGAGATAAAAAATATTAAAAAGCTTTATTTTCTAAATAAAAATTACACTCATCATCATACAATTACAGGAATAAATTAGGGTTTTGTACCTCATTTATAATCCAATCTATCTCCATTGCTGTTGTCCATCTCCGTTCATAAAGCCTGGCAATGCGTTTCTATTTCTAGTCATAGGAGTCCTGGGAGGTGGTCCAGGTCCAAGCATTGACTGCTGTTGTTCAGAATTCGACGGATATTGATATTGACCTGAACTATTCATCGGTGTTGACGGAACAGCGGCAAAGCTAGGCGTAGTTAGCCTAGGAGCTGTTTTTTTTGCGCGGCGAAAAGAAAGCCAAAGCTTTATTATTAATATTAATATTGTTACTTCTTTGTAGAATTCTCAATGAGAAATTTTGGATAAATGAAATTACCAAGTGTATTTATTCGCGCTGTGCTAGGTCGTCCGGAGGTCCCAACACCACCCACACCTCCTCCACGACCACTTCCATGTAGTGAGTTCCATGACATACGAGTTCTTGCTGATGTTCCAGGACGGGAGAATGTAGTAGGTGGTGGTCCACTGGTCTGCTGAGAAAATAGATTTCTTGAATATTCAGATTGATTAAACCTCTCCAGGTGACTGTTGTTTAATGGCGTTGATGCCACATATGTTTGATTATATCTAAAGAAAAAAAACAAGTATATTCATATCGGAGGAACCAAAAATCCCAATAAAACAAAGAATCAAATAAATGTTCATACCTCGCCGGAGTCGATAGTACCTGATTTTGAAGTGCAAGTGAATTAATATTAGGTCCTTGCACATCAACCGCTGCACCGCCTCCATCAAATCCTTGGTATTCTCCAACTCCATTATTCCACATCTCACCATTAAATGTCGTTTCATTAATATTATTAATATTATTGTTGTTGTAACTATTCGCGTTATTATAATTACTAGTACTATTCATATTATATTTGAATTGTTCAGGTTGGTTTTGAAAATTGTCATAGCGTTGAGTTTGTTCTTGGAGAGGTACCATCGATGACGGTTGTGCCGGCGAGATAGAACACGTTGATGACGAGGGAAGTGATAGACGTGAAGGTGGATTGGGTGTTTTTGGAAGACGTGACTTTTTAATAGGTTAACAAAAAATCAGGTTTTTGAATAATAAATGAATTACAAACATATTATTAAGTTTTTACCTGCTTCGGAGAAATATAAGGACCATTTCGATTTTTTATTGAAGATGATGACTCGAGCGATCGTGGACTATTTAATTTAATTTTAAAGCTTGAAAATAATCAAAAAGGATTTTTTTGATATACGATACTATATTACATTAACGTTTTTGCACTAGAAATACTACTAACCTATAATATGGTGTTTCTTTTGATGTGGAAGATGGCTCTTTGGATTCAGCACTAATATTAATTCCGCCAGTTCTTGCCTCTTGTAATTCGGCTTTTAAGCGTTTGTTTTCTTCCTTGAGAGCTTGCAACTGACTGACATGATTATCAGAATTATAATAAATTTGAATAGCGCCAATTACTCGTTCATATATATTTTTGTTGTTCTTACTTTTTAATTTCTTTGTGTTTGATAAGCTCTTCTTTGGCTTTATCAAGAACTTGTTTTTGTTTGTTTACTTTATCTTTTAGAAAATTCAGTAATCCGTAGAGATTACTATGTTGAAACTAAAAAAATCATAATTATTAAGTCGTGAGGATAAAGATCTATAAAAATACATTTGTCATTGATGCTTACTCTCAAGGCATCAGCCGCTTCGTCTAATAATTCATTGGGTGGTCGAAAATAAATGTTTAGATTGTTGGGAAGCTAATTAAATCAAATTAAAATAAATTAATAATCCTCGTGCCAGCTGAATTGTCTGAAGATAATAAAACAATCGTTGACACCTTATCGGTCAATTCAACTACAGTACTTTTCGCTTGGCAAACCGGACAAGCACGTTCTTTAGAATCCTTAGAGTTCGAGGCATTGCTGTTATCTAAAATTTTCGAAAAAACAATAATTTAGTTTCGAAGCTGCTGCTACAAACCGAGAGACTACCTATTGCTTGTGCACTCTCAAATCTTTAAAACAGCAATGGGAGTATGACTTGGTTAATAATGACAAACCTGTACTAGGTTCAGAGGATTTGTTATAACAAGCTTGGCAAATCATATGTCCACATTCTGTCAACCAAAACCGTAGTTTGTCTTCATTGTTGTTTGATGAAGAGGACGGGGTCGAATAACCAAAACACAAATTACAATGAAGGAAATCAACGAACATAACTGAGCGCTAGAGTTTGTTAAGAAGGTTGAAATAACTTCTTGCATCATATGTAGATTTTCATTTCATCGCTATGACGCGTGCATGCTCGCGTTTAAACCACATAACGATATCACGTGTTTAAATATATTATATTTTATATTTTCCAATTTTTTTTTGTCCTAGACATCAAGTGTGGCTATACGCAAGGAACTGAATATTCTCTTCCCTCCGTGAAATTATCACAAGACTACTTCCTCTTGCGGCCAAATCTAGTTTTGACTACAATTTTTGCTGAAAATATGGTTTAAACATAGCCGAAGCTTAGTTTCTACTATAGTTCCTACTTCTTCAAACATTTTAGGCAACCAGCACTACTTATCACTTAATAATCCCACTAGTCACTTTTGTTATATCCTCTTTATGCTTTCTACTTCGTTACCTTTATATATTTATAATTCACTCTGAGCCGAAGTTCACAGCGAGATTTTCGTAGTTCGCAAAGCAGAAATGGGGATTCAAAGACTAGGACTCAATCTATGGATGCTTCACAAGAGCACTGTTTAAAATACAATCCCCCACAAAAAGGGGATTATCTTATTGTTTGAATCAATCACATTTTGGAATAAAGTTTGAGGAGGCGTAGTTTCAATGGTACATTTAAGGAAACAAAAGTTAAATTTGGAATTTCTTTGTTCGTTATGTATCCTAAAAGATAAAATTCGTGACGATCATTTTAACATTTACAACAGTTAACAAATGTGTGAGAAATCAAAAATCAAATTTCGAGGAACAAAGATCAAATGCGTGAGAAAATCAAAGCAAATGCGTGGGAGAAAACAAAATCATTTCAGTTATTTTCTTGTTTTGCGTAATACAAACATTGGATTATAAATATCAAGGTAATCTCAGAATTCTGCCATATCGCTGATCCTGTTAGGAAAAAAGAATAATCAGAATATTGCTCTTTAGTAACGACTTAAATCTCTTTTAATAATGCGAGAGGAACCTGATGAAGAGGCAAGCAATATTCCTGTTTAAACTTATTAAGATAACAAAAAATATTAGATGAAAAGAATAATTAATTAATGGACAAATCATCTACTGCGTGGTTAATATATACTTTGTAGTTTGAAGACCTTGGTGTGGACTCTTTTGATGAGAATGAAGACACGCTTGCACTTGATGAGTTTTTTGAAATCACATTCGGATCTAGTCCGCTGGATTTTGATTCCACTCAATTTGTTGCAGAAGAATTGACGGTGGAAATAGTGACTAAATACGTGGGACGCGCTCTCTATACCTCTTCACACGGAATTATGCGGGAACTGTTTCCTTATCTCATCGATATCCTTAGCCGCACAGTTTCCCTTCGCAAGTTGGTCGATTGTATTCGCCAAATTTTCCGATACAATCGTAATCACCAACTGTTGGGTTTTTTAGAAACCTGCACTGGCCGTGATTTTCTAGTCGCCTTCCTGAATAAAGTACCAGAAAAAGCTATGCCCAAGATGCTGAGTACTCTCGTCTCTTCCAATATACCTGTTCCGATACTTTTGACCGATCAGCTGGGATCATTTCCTAAAGGTTTTACGGTTCTCTCTGCGTTGCGTGAATTGGTAACAACAAAAAAGTATTGCCTTCTCCTTTCATTCAACTTGACGACTAGCGAAGTAAATCCCCCTTTTTCGAAACAATTGTATCCAATTTTGAACACAAATCGGGAAGATATTATATCGATCTCTCATCCGGGATCAATTGATATCTCTTTTCATTCAGCATCTGAAAATCATATTCGGCAACCGGTTGCAATAGCTGAAGTGTATAATAACAAAACACCATCCCAATTCATGAGTGGTGTTGTGAATAGTTTCTCCAAATGTGCTTTCTTTCTAATGATACATGTCTCTGATGACGATTTCGATGGTGACGAAATCAGCCAAGAGCTAGAAAATCAAATCTTTACAATTTCCAAGGATCGATGTGCTGAAGAAAAACGCAAAATTTTAGTATTGTACAGGGATACTCAAAAAAAGAAGGGTCATAGGGCCCGCGATACATTGAACAAGCGAAAGTATTTGGTCGAACGAATTCTTAAATCAAGATTTAGTGATGACGAGACTAGCTTCAAGAGACTCTCGACGTCTAAAAGTCAACAGCAACTAGATGAAATAAAGGCCGATATATTTAATGCTATTTTGAAAGTGAAAGAGTTATATTTGCAGACACCTCTTACACTCAATATTTCAACCCCCGATGTTACCCAAGTTGTTGTTTGGTCCGACGTGATGACTCAGAGAGTTTTTGCCCAATGCATGCGGGATGCCGGCTTCGTTGATGGCCTTAGTGAGTTCCGACGCCGTCTTATTTTCCCTGCCTCGTATGTTGAACACGAAATTGAAAACCTTAAAGATAAGAAACATTTGACAACCTTAGAAGATAACCACAAAGTCATAACTGAAGAGGAATTACTTCAGAGGATTAAAAGTTTAGAATCAACTAAATTGGCCATAGGTGACGCGCCACCTTTATCCATACTGTCCTTATTTGTAGAAGGGATTAAAGAAAATGACATACGTAAAATGCGCGCATTTGCTCGCGACGTCGATGACTTCTTTAAAGAGCATTTACACAGCCTCGCAATGTTGGATCAATCCGATGATTTCAATCGGCAACGTATCAAACAGCAGATTGAAGATAATGATATCTCAATCCATGATTTTTGGCGGGAATTGGTTATTCTCTCAAAGGTCATGGTTACGAGGGACAAATCTGTTTCCCAAAAACTTTATTCCGTTGATGTCAAGTAAGAAATGGCTCTTTTGCATTGCAATATGTCAAAGGTCAAATTATTAACGATGCATTTTCTCCAGGACTCTGGAGAACGCCTACCGAACTTGGGTAACAGAAGGAGAGTCTATGCAAATGTTAGATGGATTATCGCTCCGAGCGCTCAACCCTGACTTTCTATCAAATGTCTTAACATCAATAATGACGGATCCAAACCGCCAACTACTTGTCATATCTGTTATCGGCTTAGAGAGCTCAGGCAAATCTACCTTGTTGAATTACCTCTTCAAATGCGGGTTTTCGACTTCGGCTGGACGATGGTAAGATTGTATTGATTGTGTCCATGCGGCAACCAATAAATAACTTTGGCTATTTATTTTATAGTACAAAGGGAATGTATATGTCATATCGCCATTCTGTGTTTAAAGGACAACTAATTGACCTCCTTATACTAGATTCAGGTTTGTCTTTTTCAAACTATTAATAATAAGTGTTGCAATTATAGAGAGAATCGTTGGGGATTGACTTAAATTTATAACCTTGCAAAAAAGAGGGCATGGGGTCTACGGCTCAGAAATATATCACCAGGCGTACAAATTTTGACAAGAAAATCACGTTACTTGCTTTAATGTGCTCTCAAATCGTCATCATTAATACCAAGGGCTTAACGCGTGATATCGCCAATATCCTTGAGGTTTCCTCTTATCATTTGGACGCATTGAAAGCAAGCAGAATAAAACCGAGATTACATTTTGTACTGCGTGATATGATGGATAAAGCTGATGCCCAAAAGCCAGCTTTTCTAGACATTCGGACAAGTCTTGAAGAAATGTTTCAACAAATTCCTGGCTGCACAGAAGATTTAGACGACTTTATGACGGTAGAACAAAAGGATGTGCACCTATTGGTGAACGCTTTCTCGTCCTTTAATGATGATTTTCGACCGCGGGCAGATATTATCTCAGAATCTGAAAATATACATGTACCCGCGGCAAGTTTACATGTGAAATTTTAGTTGCTGTAAATGTAATTTTAAACGAATTTCATCAACTAAACCGTATTTAATTTAGGAAACTTTTCCTATCAAAGTATCAAACTTACGCCAAGCCCTTCTTGAGTCGGCTCTTGGTTCAGCTCACGATCCAGATACCAAACTGTTTGCTAACGTCAATGGTAACTATGGTGTGCCATTTGTTCTTTTTCAAAATTCAAAGGTTAATCATATATTCTATTCTTTATATTAAGGCTTTATTGTACAAATGAAAACAACATGGGGGATGATTGATGCCAAGGGCAGTTTCCTCCACTTCAATGACTTTAAAGAAATTCAAAAGTGGAATGCAATGCAAGCAATTGTCAAAAATATTCAAAAGAATTTAACACCATTCCGGAACGAAGTAAACCAAAGCATTGAGAGTTACATTGAGAAGCTCAAAACGAATTGTAATCAATCAGATCAAATCCACGACGAGTTTTTGGCGAGTCTAACCGGGATTGAAATATTGCACCGCGAAGAAGCGCTGCTCGAATTTAACCAGCAAGCCGCTAATCAGTTTGATGCCAGAATTAAAGAAGAGGGACGAAATTTGATCCGCAACATGTTCGCCACCGACAAACTTAGTCTCGAAGCAAGATGGTGCGAAGAGGAACGGAAATACAAAGAACAGGCACTTATACATAATGCCGTGGAAGATTTTGGTCAACGATTAAAAATCAACACACCTGAAGATTTGGAAGAGTTGAGACATGACCAAAATAAACGTAACCAACTATTCGATGATACATGGAAGAGGGTGAAACAATCTCACGAACATTTTATGAAAATCATTGGAAACACTAACCAACTTGAACAACTAGTAAGTTCATTTAATGAAGCAATCAAAGCAGGCAAGAGCACGGTCGATGTTCAAGACCCAGGTTTTCAACAAAAGTTCAACAGAAAATTCTGGATGTCGCTTGAGATGCCCGCTACATTGGCCACAGAGGGTATCGTGATGAACTACGATATCGTTGCCAGTTTAATTGCTGTAAAACCTCGCGGTATGATAGAAAAAGTTTTTAAGTTTTTTGATTCGACTGAGTATGACTCGATCAAAACCGATGCTACTCAGAAGATTCTCGAAGAGGTCAAAAAAGTCACGAATGCAGTTTGTACCGAAATCAAACTTGATAAATCTATGCGAATTGAATATGGCAAGACGCATAATTGGCTTCAGAGGTTATGCGATGGTCTTTTCAATGTTTTTGGAAATTTGAACAATGCTCAGGCCAAATTTGCCCCCGAGATTAATGATTTTAATCAAATTGAGGTAAATTTAGAATGTCTACTAACTGATTTGAAATGAATTCATAGTTTTCATATTAATATCTCTATTAGAAATACTTTCGGCTAGAGGTGTACAAAATTCTAAAGCAAAACATGGAAAAATGGCACTCTGTACAAAAGAGAAAACTCGAAAATCTCAAAGAAGATCTCCAATCAACTTTCAATAATCTCTTGATAGATCATTCTGCTAAAAATCTGTCTTTGGAATTAACTAAGCACGTCCATAAGATGGCCGTCGAAAGTCTTTCAACCCATGAATTAACAATTAGAGGCGGTGTTGATAATTATTTGCAAGAAAGCTGGGTGAACAAGTATGGCACGACCCATTGGGCGCATATGCAAAGTTTCGGTAAAAAAGATCATAACGCCGTTCGCGAATATCTCACCAACCTCGATAAGTTTTCTCGAAGAATCTTTCAAGAAGAATGCAAAACTAAGATCAATACATTAATTGATGACAAGTTTAGAGAGATTAAGCAAAAAATCAACGAAATCGAAACGCTCCTCACTTCGGCAATTACCAGCGTATGGAGTCTCGGTCAAAAGTCTACTATCAAAGTTATGTTTGAAAAATCTCGAGGAAATGCCGCATACAATTATGTCAAAGGGTTCTCGTCCGTTTTTGGTGAATATGATGTTGAAGATCCCAAGAAATTTTGCGAAATTTTCAGAGAGGAATTGAAGAAACATTTCGACATTCTTCGTAACCAATGGGAAACTGAGGCGCAGGTTGAAATATCGAAGAAGCGTCTTAAGAAGTATGCCGATCAAGCAATCGAAGCGAAATGGGACATCTTGGAAGGTTGTACTGCGCGTTGTCCTACTTGTGGTTCAAAATGCGAAGATATCAAAGGCACCAGTCATACACATCATACCTCTACACATGTGATGACGGCTTTTGGAGGATATAAGGATTTGTACAGCAGAGAAGCAAGTTTGGTTGTTTGTTCTGAAAAAGCAGCGCACGAGCTTCGTTGGAGAAATAACACAACTGACCAATTTGTTGAGTTAAACAGGTTGATGGAAATCAACCAACCCCCTTGGTTAAAAATAGTGCCTAAAGATGTTACGGATACCGAAATAGCGAGTATGCGTTGTGTGTGGTGGCACCTTAGAAAGGAATGGTGTGAAAAATATGCAATGAAGGACGCAACGCCAGAGGATTGGCTTAAATATGCAAAATGATCAAATTCATCTCTTGTGCAGGTCCTCCTTGGATATTTTTCTTTATGTGCGTGTGAAATCTTGTATTTCAAAAATACGCTTTAGAGTGATTTATTCCCCGTCTTACCAATCTTCCTATGAATCTCGTCCCATCATTACATATTAGCTTGTTTCGCGATCTTGACTTTTCCAACCATTGATCCAAATATTTTTGGATGATCTGTATTAACATCAAACTGATTGTCTTTTTCAATTTTATTTTCAATAATATATTTTACAAGTAATTGACTCATTAAATTGTGAATTTTGAAATTACTTGGCAAAATTGCACGGCATTGAAAATGACATGATCAAAGATTAAAGAATTACATGAAATAGTTGAATTTTATTCACAAAAATGTTCTCAAAATAATACAATATTTTTATAAGAGAATTTCTAACTATCTTCGATGATTCTATTCGTTTGCTTTGGACTGTTACACAGACAAGAATCCTTAAGCATCCAACCTTGGTTTGATTCCCTTTTTGTCAAGTCATGCTTTTGTGGTCCACCACAGCCCAATCCACGTATAGTTTCAAATCCTGAAACTGTGCATATAAAGGTCGCTCTTGAACAGCTTGGTTGCGTCGCTCAGAAATAGAAATTACAGTCAATTCATGATATATGGTCACGGACCCTCAGATGGCATGGTGGTGTCGACAGTAGCAGGATCTGATGGCAGTGGTGGTTCGGGTTAGTGGTTCGGGTGAAACTAGTTTCTCCCAATTTGAATAGATCGATTCAACGATAATCTCTAATGTTAACAAATTCTAAAATAAGAGCAGTGTTCTTTTTTTGATATAATCCCAAGTCAATTTTTCAAAGCCGTTATATTTCGCCATCTTTTGCATAGCTGCCAAGAATTCTTTATAAATCAATCCAAGAGTTTCTTACGTGAATTTGCGTGGTTATTATCTAACTTATTGAAAGGTAAACACTATGGACTTTTTGTTGATCATGACAGCACCAACAATAATGCACAACCCGCAATTAATTAATCTGAAACTGTTTTTGAAAAACTTAAAACAAAAAAAGCATCATAGAAATTGTTCATTTACTTTGTCTGTAATTTCAATGTGATTTGCTTTGAATCACGTAATTATTTCCAACAACTTCGTATCCTTCAGATTGTTAAAATTTTCTCCATGATCCCCCTTGTGCAACTATGCTTTGTAAATTGTTCCAAACCCCCCCCCCCCCCCCCCCCCCCCCCCCGGGCGAGATATTCAACATTGGAATGATAAATTTTCATTTTAAGGTCCAATATCAAATAAATAGGGTAGAAAAAACGAAACCTAAGTTGAGATCCATTTGACCCTAGAAGTCCGAAAATTAAATCTAGATCACATGCATTTTATGTGATATAATTATCTGTTTATAACTTCGCAAAATGCATGTGATCTAGCCACATAGAAAATGTGTATACATACCATTTTTCATATATACATACATCAATAAAACAGGTGCAATTAAATTTGATCTCACGTATTCAGAATGATACATAATAATAAATGATCTAAACAAGAATAAAAAATAGTGGTTCCATATAGATTCGGAAAATAAAACTATGTTCAGTGTGAAACTATTCTTCGATTTCTCACAAACAAAACCCAAGCAAGTAAAAGACCAACAAAACAAATAAAGCTAGAAACATAAAAAACCAGCTGGAAGCATTCAACACCGCTACATTGTCCAATTTTACCAAAATCACCACCAGTTGACTGTTTTTTCGCACGATAATCATACAAAATGCCAAAAATCAAATTCATCAAGAATCCACCAACTGCAGGTGCCAAAACCATTATCCCCCAATTAATACCAAATCTTAACAAACCCCACAATTCACTGGCAATAGTCGGCCCCAAACTAAAAAATGCACCATATGAAAAGCCTGTGCTAATCGACACTATCCATAGAGTACCTAATGCCTTTTCTGGAGAACCGAACAATGCTAGTCCGAACGCAGCATATAATTGTGAACAGAGAAAAATGGTAGCGGCAATAATCCAGAATAATAATCGTGATGTTTTATGATAAAATTTGTAGTAATCTGATATGATACCAATTGAAATGCGTCCAAGACAAGAAGCGATAGAGATTAATGACACGTGAAAACTCTGAAGTTGTGATATTGATGAAGAAGGTGCTGATGATGATGATTTTGTTGCTAGTACAAGTGATACGATTATTGTTCCAATAGAGTTGACTACCATTAATCCTGCTCCAGAAAGACACAGAAACGAAAACCACATAAGCCACGCTGATGGATCATCAATAAATGAATATGCATTTGTATTTGAGGATGGATTATTATATGTTGTTATTGCTGTGTTCGTTGGTGTCAATAAAGGAGTTTGCTCATTTCTATTTGTGTCCACTATAACCTCTTCTTCGACACGTGATGGAACAATACGAAGCCACATTACAGCCATTAAATTGATAATACCGAATGCAATTCCCAGGGATAAAAGTAATTTATATACATTTAAGTTCCCTTCGTTATCAGCAAGAAATATTTTACTGTATTCTGACAATAAGAATGCAGAAAGACCGAAAAAAGCCGAAGGGATACTATTATAATAATTATCATTAATATTGTGCAAATTATAGTTGACGTAGAGAAAAATTAGCACAAATGATTTACCCCAATGCAGTACCACGGTGATTCTCGGAATTTTTCGCAACAATGTTAAGAGCCGACATACAGCTATAATAAAAGACCATAGAATCGCGTCAATGCTAAAATCCACGCGATTCTGAGATATTATAAAATTGATGTATTGATTACACTCACGAAAAACTTAATCCCGAACCGACCAACCCATAATATATTGCCATTAAAATAAACGAAGAATTTGGCAAAGTGTGGTTAAAGGTGAAACCCATCAAGGTGTAGCCGAAAAAAATACCAAATGCTGCTAAAAGACACGACCTGAAAAGAGAAATTTATATAGGAAAAAGTTATTAATTAAATTCATAATTCACAACGTAAAATTTCATAGCTCACCATCTTGGACCTATTAATAATTTTTCGCGAAATATTAGCAAAGATTTCAAACCGGATCAATTGATTAATTATAAGAGTCACTTGCCATATTTGTCCAAGAACCAACCAGTTAATGGACCCATTAAATACAATCCATTATCCCCCGTTGATCCAACGAGTGATAGCTATCAAATGCACAAATTAGCTTAATTCAATAATACCTATTTTATTTATTATTGTCCACCTACCTGCACTTGATTATATCCCAATTCTTTTCCTAACTGCGGCGCATACAAAGAGAACAAGTAAATGCTTCCACCACTTATATAATTCAAACAGGCGCATGCAAATGATGCTGCGATTCGAAGTTGTCTTTGAAATTCTATTTCCATGTGTAATTAAATTATTGATGTATAAATTTAGGTTGTATTCAATAAACACTACGTTTTGGGCTCTAAAAAACGGGGTGGTGCTTATTTCTAGACATTTTCCTCGCAATTCAAAATTATCAGCATTTAGATCTTTTTGGTTGAAACAGAGTGGTGTTTATTCACGGCAGAATACGGTAATCACGTTCTTTAAAATCAGTCGTGTTCAATCTATATTTCTATATCTATAAACGCATTCATTTATTTGTTAAATGCAAACTACCAAGATTATCGATATATAAGATAAAAATAATACATGTAATAAAAAATATCTAACATAACTGATGAAATTATTAATTAAAAAAAAATACTATTACTAACGAATAACCTTTCTAAGTAAGAACCTATTAACCAATCAACCATACCATTTCCCTGCGGTGTATTCTTTCTTTTCTCTAGTGGGAATAATACTTTTTTTGATCTCGTACACCTCAATAAGTTGCTTTTTGTTTATTTTTAATGTAATTTTAAGGATTAGTATGCGTGTGTCATTGATCGTACATATAACAAATAATAATCTTAATGAATGAAGAGAACTTACTTTCCAAAGAGCTATATCCATTTCCAAAACGACTTGTTTCTTTATTAAGCCATTCTCGTAATCTTCCGCAGTTGCCGACTCACATCGAGCTATAAAATTCAATAAATAAAAAAGCTTGATCCCAAAAGAGGAATGACGATTAATTAAATATAACATACTTATGATCGGCTGACCATCCTCATCGTCAATGCTTACTTGGCCATCACGCACCAGGAAAGACAAATAGAACAAATTTTCAATTGTTTGACTGAATGATTCTGGATTTATTATAAATTCAAAAAGATTTATCGGTTGTCTTTCTTGAACAAAGTCAGCAATCATTCTGACATTGCGTGTCGTTTCGTTTTCCTGTCTTTCAATATCTCGTTCTTTCATCTTTTTTTTTTATTTCAAATAAGAAAAATTAATTAATAATGCCTTTCGATCTTGAATTTGCACAACAAACTACGTACTCTTATAGGAGTTTTGAGATCTTTTTCGTTTTTTTCTATCCGTGCATGCGATTTTCCCTTTGCCCTTTCTTTTTGCTCAATTGATAATGGGCCAAGCCTATGAATTAAATACATTAGAGATTTTATAATATCTTATAGGTTGATTGAAAGAATATATAAACTCACATGTAGGCCATCGAGGGGACACGAGTAGTAAATCGTGCAGCAACCTTACCAAGGCCTAACCAGTCTAATTGAACTTCTTCTTCTTCTTCTTCTTCTTCTGTATGTGGCTGACTTCCTCCCATGAAATTAACTAATTTACTAACATAATCATCCGTGTCAAAAGCATTGCTGTCGATTTTCATACAACGCGCTTTTTGGACGCTTAGATCCGCAGAGAGAACCAAAATGCGAGAGTCAAGGATTGCTTCGTGTGTATTTCTCACTATGAAAAAGTTAAACTTTAAATGAACACATTTGAATCAATTAATTTCGACTATGTTTCTTGGTAATTACCTTTCTTGTATAAATCATTCGCTTTTGCTAAAGTTTCCACCAACCCATTCGAATTAGATTTAATATAATCTTGTCGATTTTCTAATATTATTAATGACCAACAAAACTTCCCATTTCAATAATTTGAGGTGTTCCATTTACCATTCAAAACAAATCATGAAGCAGACCTTCAGTAGAGGTAATAAGACTCCGATATTCTTTTCGTATCGCTCGTTTTTCGGTTTTGTCTTGGTCAGGATCATATACTTCCGGACGCTTAATCTTTTTGCGTAGTGGTGTTTGTTGTTCAGCGTCAATTAAATTCCCTCGTTCTTCCATTTCTTCTCCTATGCCGTTTTCCTTGTCTGAGACATGAATGACGGACGTTTCTGGCATACTTTTTATATCGAAACTTGTTTTTTAAGTTAATAATTAAACACAAAAAGAATATTCTCAAGGTATATTTGGTATATTTTGACGCGCGCCAAAGTTGAAAATGCAATTTATTAAATTTTCTAAAATGTGGAGGTAGATACTACTGTCGCGTTCCTGGATCATATTGTATTATTCAGAACAAAAACCGTGATATCACGAAATTAAAATTTTTCACTTTGATCCAACAATGAGCTCTAAAACGCAACACATTATCTCCACAAAAGCGTATCAAAAAATCATTTTACACGCTGTAAAACATCCGTTTACCACTGTAAATGGAGTACTGTTGGGTAAATATAGTGCTGGAAATAGTGAAGAGGTAACAGTGACTGATGCTATTCCGTTGTTTCATCATTGGACTACTTTGACCCCGATGCTTGAAGTTGGATTGCAACAGGTACATATTCGTTAATGAATAGAAAAGAGAAGTACTTTGTTAGTTCAAATAAAAAAGAATGAGTCTTTATTCTCCGTTTCTTTTAAATAAAAAACAAAAGGTGGATATATACGCGGCACACCATAAAATTCGTATAGTTGGCTATTACCATGCAAATGAAAATATCAATGATAAATCATTACCAGCGTTTGGCTCAAAAATTGTTTCGAAAATTCGCGAAAGTTTTACGGATGCTATTGCTCTAATTGTGGGTTATTTGATTAACATCGATAATATTCTTTGATAAACTTTTTATTTTCTCTTTCTCTTTTATTAATTATGGATTTTGGTACGTTAAACAGATTCAAAATACAAAACTATCATTAGATTCTCCTGAAGTTGCAATACTGGTAACTCTCTCGATACTATTATTTGATTTTCTTAATTCTTCACCCGCGGAATAAATAGCAAATTAACAAATAAAAAATTGATATCAGCCTTATATATTTCGCGAGAATCAATGGCGTCCGGTAAAGAGTGCTTTCGAATCAACAAATAATCCTACCAACAACAGCAGCAGCAGCAGCAGCAGCAACAATGATAATGATAATGAATCATCTTCATCCTACTCTATACCAACTTTCACCCTTGAAAATCAAAAAGCACCAATTAAAACTAGCAACTCGATAAAACATCGACATTATGAATACTTGTACGATTTTGATGAGCATCTCGAGAATGTAGAGTTGGATTGGTTGCATAACGAGACGTTAGCGGTTTTGATTAAAATATAGACATTAAGTTACTTACTTGTGAACTTTTTTGTATAACAATAAGATATATAATATAATTGGTAATAAATATTCATTTAATATGTATTTATTAATTCATCATTATTCCTAATATGATTTGATGATGATGATGATGATGATGATGATGGTGATGGTGATGATGATGATGGTGATGGTGATGGTGATGGTGATGATGGTGATGGTGATGATGATGGTGAGTTGTTTATTATTGACAATTTGATTACACAGTTTTTTTATTATTGATCTGGTTTGCATCTCTAGTTATCACAATCTTTTGCAACAAATTGAGCCAATATTTCTTTTTGAGAATACATTTACGAGACGTTATCGAGATGGACCAGCAACAGATTTGAGCTTCTTATTGAAATCGATTGGTCGGATCGACATTTTTATAATAAACATGAAGCTACTACTCATTTTTAGAAGTTCCATTAAGCACTGCATCAGAATGTTATTTTTCCAAAGGACAAAAATTATTAGATCCAGTAATTTTTCTCTTATTAACCATGGTATACAACATATGTATGATGTATAGAAGTTATGATATTCAGAATAATTCATTTAAAATTATATTGGTATTAGACTTGGTAAAAATTCGTGATAGTGAAATTCTACAATTTCTATTCCTCAAATAATAACAAATTCATTACTATCGAATGTTCATATAACTATCATTATTCAAAAAAAAAAAATACAAGCATCTAATACAGTGTTGGCATTTGATCGAGACTTTGCAAAGTTTTGACCGGATCGTTGGCCAAAATTTATAAGCAATAGCTATTTCGGGAGATTTTCGGCCAAATGACGCGGTGACAGGATATAAATGTAAGGTTCTTCATTCCCCGCCACCACCTTTCAAATCTCCTGTATTAGCACACATTTTTTCAATTTGTACGTTAATGAAACCACAGCAACCACCGTCATTACTACTACTATTACTAATCATATTGGTTTTTTTCTTTTCGATATAGTTGGGGGTTTGTCGTTCTTCGTTATTATTTCCAGATGCATACAAAACGTCTGTTTGTTGATGTTTTTTGTCTTCATTTAATCTCTTTTGTCCATTCAACATCGATACACCCAACGGTACCTTTTCATTTGTTATTGTAGTACTATCAATATTATTTTCGCATCTTTTGCTTTTGTCTCCATTTTGACGTGGAATCAACACTTGTTCATTATTTTCAGGAGTACCTTCGTATTGTTGCTGTGGTTGTGCCTGTATATTAAAGATATTGCTATTTAAATTCAGTTCAGAATTCTCAAATATTTTCACTCTTTTTTCTTTGCATCCGTATGCTGAGGGAATGACCTCGATTAAATCGTCTCTCGGGATAGCGAGAGTTGGTATCTCCTATAATAAGATTAATGATGATTAGATTATTGGTATAAAAATTTTGATTGATAATTCTTATTTAGTAGCACACACCTCTTCAGGACGATCAAATAAATAAGCGTATAGACACCGTAAAACGGTCTCGTGTGCGATAATTAGAACATCGTTCTTTTCGCGTTCCAATTCTAGAATTACAGCTTCTAAGCGTACTGCTAGATCATGGTATGACTAACAAAATTAAAACGAAGCGTCAGCAATATGTGGTTTATAATAGTTACTTCACGTATTGTCGTCAATTAATATCATTATATATACACACACACACACCTCAGCTCTAGGATACCGGTGGTGATATGGATTTTGCTGCTGCCGCGCATATTCCTTTGGAAATTTTTCCTAAGGTTAAAAAAAAAAACGTCTATTAAACCACTAAATCAAGGAATTATATCACCGATTGGCTGAATATATAAAATAGTCGTACTTTTAATTCTTCATTACTCAAACCATCTGCCTCACCCAAATTTATTTCTCCCATCAATGTTCGCGGACTCACTGTGAATCCTGCCTCAGCAAAAGGTTGTGCTGTTTGTAAACATTGTTGACGAGCAGATGACCAAACCTATTATTATTATCGATGAAAATAAGTGTAAGTCAAATAACTATGATTTAATTAAAATTTCCACAAAAAATGAACTACTTACAATCAACTGCCTCTCTTCTTCATCTCCCCAACCCTGCTCTCTCCGTTCTTGTTTTTCGCGTTCTCTCAAGTTCAAAATAAAGTTCTTGAGCCTTTCAGCGTATTCGCGTCCGCAAGGAGACAACCCAGCATCTGTTTTTTGAGATGCTTCTTCATTAAGGCATTCTCCCGACTACATAAAAAATTTTACATTGTTATTTATAATATAACACAATAGCAATATTACTAATGCCACCAAAACGACGATAAATTGATAAATCCTTACACGCGCGAAGTAAATGATTCGTGGACAGATATGTAAATTGATGAGATAATATACAATGCGAGACTTGAAAAATATTATTCCATATATTAATTTTTAGGTTAGTGAAAAGAAAATGAAGTGGATAAAAGGTTTTTCAACAAAAGTTTCATAATTTGAGAGAAAAGATACCTGAAGATATCCATTCACATTATTCACGATGATCTGTTCCCCCACATTTACCAGTTTCACAAAATCTAACGAAGGATCATTGATAGTTTCATAATAAGGCATATGATTATTGATTCGCTCCTATATGAATAAAATGAAATCAATTCCATTCGAACAACATTAAAAAAACCGGTAGATAAGTATTCTTTGAAATTTACCCAATAATCTTTCACCGCCTCTTCCGGATCCCAACCAAGATACTTTATAAACAAAAAAAGAGAAGGAATAAGTATTTCATGATTCATACATAGTTATTGATATGGAATATCACTTACATCAGGTGATGAAATCTTAACACTTCGAATATTACTTTCGATGATCTCTGGTTTTTCACATATCGATTCTATTATAGCAAAAAAAATTTCAAGTATATAATGTAAACGCAATAAACTTTAATTCAATGTCAACTAAATCTATAGAATATACACGTACCAATAAATACTGGCTAGAATTTAGTAAATACAAATCAGATTAGTGTTTATTTTAATTGAATGATCTAGCAATTATGTGAGAATTACCTACATGAACATCATGCTTTATCAAAGTTTCATGTATTTCTCTTCTCCTTCGTTCAGTAGTATTACTAGCATCATAGATGCCGACCTGCCCGCCCTTCTTAAACCATTCAATCATACCCTGTAAACAAGCATTCGCGATGATGTTTCGTTGCTCAGCTGTGTCTTGGTTACCTGTCCAAAAAAATACGTAAAAACGTAAGAGTCATCCTTATTCAATGTAACTTTAACACAAGTTTCTTCGAATCGCACCCAACACAGCTCACTAGATAATCAAATCGAGAGATATCCTCATAATTGATTCCCGGAGAAATTTTTGCCATCGATGTAATAATAAAAGAATCAATTGAAAAAATCCAAACTCACCAGGACTAAAAAAATCCCGTGGAAGTCTTTTAGGTGTGCCCATGACGTGACGTCGATAATTTCCGACGCTGAAGACCTTTGTTTGTACACCAAGCCACCTTAAATAGCGACATAGTGACCGAGATACGTGTGTTTTGCCCCTTGCTGGAAGACTAATAATAAAGAATGCAAAACGTATATAATATATAAGTATATGCGTGTGCAAGTGTCTTGAATGAATTCGTCAAATGGTAAGAACAATAATTCTCTTTAACTACCCCACAGTGATAATAGCGATGGTTCCCGCGTGAAACATGCGGCCAGAGTCAGTTTTATAAAGTGAAGCAGCCATTGTTTTTTGTAACTAGTTAATTTTGGACTAAGTGTGTGTGGGTGTGTGTGTGGATGTGTGTGGTAAAATAATATTGTCGATTATTTGATCAAAAAAAAAATGAATTTTCTTATCGTTATCTTTAAGGTTACTACTCGATTTGAACAAAATTCAATATCGATCAATCTTAGTAATAATGAGTTCTATTGTAGTAACAGTAATATATATTTATTGAATTAAGAAATAAACCAGTTTACGTAAGTTGATCGATTGGTTGTATGTCAAATGATAAAGGGTCCAAAAAAGATGAATAATCTTAAAAATCTGTTTTGACAATGTACTTGCGACAAACATTCTAATTTATGCAGAATTTCATAATACATGTATCATGTATTTAATACTATCAATATATATTACAGAGAATGATATCAGTTTGATGATATATGTATATACTCCACTTTTTCATCCCAGATTATCAATCTTTTGCTTTAGCAACAAAGACGCTGATATCAAGATTCTGCGAGTTTCCTGCTTATTTAATTACTACATTTTCAACATAATTCTCACCTTTCAATTGCTTGCTAACGCTAATAGTTAGCGGAATATAATATAGATACCAGATAACTAACGAAAATAAAACACTGGGTTATCTATCTTATCAGTTGATATACAGTATCTTTGATAGAGAGTACAAAACAATAATCGCTCTATAATAAGTTAAACGAATCATCATCGCCACTACCTCTACCACCGAAATCAAAGTTCTTCATTATTTCACCATATGATTTTCGCATCTGCAATGAACGTGATAATTAACATATCGGAAGTGGAAAAATGTTAATAGAATAGTAATAAATACTTCTTTTTCGTATAACTGCCCATTTTCCGCGTATTTACAGAATGACATGGCAATCTCACACCACTTCTTAGCTTGTGGATAATCGTTTGATCTGTTTTTGTATTTCAAGTTCATTATTTATTTAACCAGACATTTTCAACAGGTATTTAATATTTTGGTGTAAAGAAGATAACTAGCAATAGCAAGGAACCAATATATAAAAAAATGCACTCACGAATAATAATCAATTCCACAATTCCAGGCTGTTACCATTAACCATTGAATTTCTTCTTCTGGATATTTACCCTGTCATTTTTGATATAAAAAATCAGACTAAGTTCAGACAAAAAAGAACATCGACTACTCACCTTTGAACAGTCATTCAATATATCCAAAGCCTGTGTGAAATACTGCAATGCCGTTTGTTTCCCTTTAACAAGTGCCGTAATAACCAACATTCGAAACCATCTCGAAAATTGTTCAAGGTCTATTTGTGTGCCTTTCATTATTGAGTCGAGTAGTGCCTGAAATATAATTATCCTATTTAGTATATTTTTAATGGTAGAGTTAGTGCGTAAAAAAGAACAACGAAAGTTACCTGTAAGGTGGCGAAAATAACTTTAGTCATCGTAAAAAAATATTAAAAATTAAATTATAAAGTTTTGTTTTCTATCACCGTTACAGAGAATCCATACCTCCACTTGGACATTCATTTTCCTCGATAAGCAATTCAGCCATACGTTCATATATTTTCGAGGGAATGTCAAAGTCATAAGCTGCTGCACTCTTGAATTATGAGTTTTGAAAATCAATGTTAAAACACCGAAAGAAATAAGAAAATAATATTCGCACCGTTACTCACATCCAGAATTGCTTGTAACTCATTCCAAAGACACAAATTGACTTTTGCTTCAAACTCGAAAAGCAAAACTAATAATGCATCAGTTTCACTTTTTTCCGCTGCTTTTATCGACTCCGCATCAGGATTTTCTTCATCAACGTCGTTAATTGTGCGTTTTCGTTTCCCCAATTTCGTCTGAAATTTGCGGTAATTCTGTATATCTTTAAGAGATTGTTGAAAAAGGTCTTTCTATATTTTTTTTAGGAATTTCAGTAGAAACTATTATCAAATACAAACAAAACAAAAATAACAACATTAAATACAAGTTTCACCTTTTCCGAAACAGCTTTTTGTTGTCGTGCTAGAAAAATTCTAGCGCTCAAAGTAGTAAAGAAACATATTTTTTTCCTTTTTATGTTTTCTGTTGTTTCTTCCGGATAAGAATTCAAAAACTGAAACATAGTAAAATTGTGCAAACATTATGGAATTTCGCTATTACATTTCGCTGATTTTATTTTTATTTTACCTTTAATGCTATTTCAAATAACTTTATAGCATGTGTATCGCTATTTTCTTCGCAATTCTCGCAGAATTCTAAGCCAATGTTCCACGCTATTTTGCATGAGTTAATTCATCAATTAATTGAATGTTTCATTAAGAATGCATTGTTAAATTATTTAATTACCAGTCTTGAAAAACCATTCTATTTCATTCAACGGAATCTTCTTTGAAATTGTCAAATCATTCAAATTGGTTGGGTCAGCACTGCTATTTTGCTCTTTATTTTTATTCGATTCAACTATTTTTGAGGCTTTCGAAAAAATAATAAATTAAAAAAAAATAACAATTAACACGAAACAAATTTACTCACCAATCTCAAAATATCCACAAATATGATTTTTAACCAACTTTCTAAATAATATAAAATTTATTCATTGCTAAATATTCCACATATATCCATAAAATACTTCATTTGAAACACAGACTTTTCAACATCATTTCCAGACATTAGCGAAGAATGAGTCAATCTTATTAAACACCTTTTATTCAAATATTTGTTGTTAATTATACGTGTTTTATTGTTATAGAAATTGTTGACTATTATATTACCTCAGCAGCACCAAAATATCAACATTTGCCGTGTCATCTCCTTTTTTATGCTTCAATAGAATCTCCTTCAATGCCTCAACTAATACCTCTTTATTACTTTTTTGATAGGCTTCGTTGGCTGCCATCGCTAGCATATTACTATGAAAATTTTCCCCTTTGCACATATCATGAAGATATTGGATAGCTAAAGAAAATATTATTTGTGAATGTATCCCTTGTGAAAAAAAATTTAATCCCGTAAATTAGAAACCTATGGATGATTTACCTTCCGCTAATTGCCCTCTTTCCATTGCAATATGATACAATATAAAGAAATTTGCCGCACAATTAGGTTCGTGAATCTTAGCTTGTTGGATTGCTTCGATAGCATCAGAAAGATGGTTTGTTTCAAGATGACATAGCGCGATTTTTCTTTGTAATTTGAACGAAAAAATTAGGAATTAAAATGCGTTATTATATGCATTATGGTGTTTTCTACCTTTGTAATGTAGCGGCATTTTTTCCGTCTAATTGATTGGAAGCGAGCCATTTATACGCTAAATTGTACCATTTTCTTGCTATATCGTGTTTTTGAGTCTACAAAAGGAACACCAATTCAGTCCATTCAAAATCCACAAAATTCATCAGTCAATTCGAGATTTTACCATATAATTTCGATCCCCACTTTGCCAAAGAATCTGAAAATAAGTAAAAGAAACACACATTTCTAGTTGGACATGTTTCGAATATAGAATCTGATTTCATATTCCTTTTTCGCATATAAAATATATACCAATTGACATGCAACTTTTGCTTTATGGCTAATAACGATTCCGTGACGCTGTTCATCTGAAAAATATATATTCGAAATGTTTAATAATTTTGAAACTCAAATACACATAAAAATGGATGAGAGTGAGAAGTAATGTACAATCAAGAGACACTTGAACACTTTGAACTGCATCGTCCAAACTTAATAAAGTTTGGCAACTTGCGTTTCCTATTATATGAAATTTTGCTACGATCGCCTTTTCGATATATTGGATATTACAGTTATCCGATAAAGTGTCTTCTAATAGAATGTCAAGACCGGATAAAGCAAGCGTTGGACTATTGTGTGTTGATATTATTAAAGAATTAATAATTTTTATACTATGTAAAATAAAAGAAATAAATAAAATAGCACCGTGTACTTTGTTTCGCTCACAAAATGGGCACTGTTTAGAATGCTATAGGAAAAATATGAAACGTCAATATATGCATGGAATTTATACGAATCAAAGTTTCCTTCATACATTTTAAAGTTCTCTTTGTTAAGCAGTCTATTAGTGGTCTTCATCAGACGAAGAAATGTTTCTTCGAAAGTGACATTAGTGACGTTTTGCAATTTCAGAATTTTGATTTTGAGCGAGGATGCTAAAATATTTGTAGGTTCTTCCTTTTTAAAGCAAAATAATATGTTAACAAGCCATTTATATATGAAAGAAATCCACTTTCTTTTATAAATGATTACCTCCAAACATAAATTTATCGAATTCTCAGCTAGATTGAGACTCGATTCATCGTGTGTGGAATTCTTTAGATAAGAGATCGCTATTTTTGAAGGATAATAAATCAACTATTTAAATAGTACAAGATTAATTCGTTCTTCCTTACCTAAAATATTTAAAGTGTTTGTCTAATATTTTTTCAGAAATTAAGATTAATAAGCACCTGAATTGAACGAGAATAATTTTAAAGAAATCCAAGCATTAAAACAAACCAATAATTTGGTTCGACTGATGTCTTTTTCTTTCATATGATCTGTCATTAAGTCGTGGCATTTTCTTAGCCATTTAATTGCATCGCCTGTTTTTCCTTCACGCGACGCCTGATTGCCAATATTGAAACACACTTGGCATAAAATCTCGATCTATATAATTTTATTATTTGTCATTAGAATTCAATGATAAAAGTGTAATTTAATAAATCGGAGATATTTATTGCCTCTCGTGAGGTTACGTATTCCAGATATATAGAATCTAGACAGAAGAAATTAATTAGTTTTCGCATAATCGAAAGAACGCTCAGTTACATTACCCGTTGCATGCTGAATCATCAAATTCGCAACATGACTATTGGCCAATTTCCAGGCCTTTAGAGAATAAATAATATTGTGAATAATTATCTGTTACTATTTCTTAAGACAACTCACGTAGTAAAAGGGGAAAATACCGCTTCTGCACGATACGCATAATACAGTACTAAAGCACTACATTTTGACAGCTGTACAGTGTTCGAGTCATTTTGAATATTAAGCACGCCGTCTTCATACTTTTTTATGTAATATAATAAAATTTTCATATACATGTATATATTCAATATAAATTGTTTTCTTTATACAATAAGTAAAACATACCGAATTCGCGGATCGTAAAACTTCGTCTGCCTTATCACTTCTGCCACAATCTTGGTTTAAATATTCGCAAATAAGTAAGGTTAATTTATAAATAATATATTCTTTTTTTACAAACCTAGCCACGCTTTTCCAACTTTAGTCGCCAGTGTAAGTAACTTTACAATTACTAAATTACGCATTAAAAAATAAGTGATAATGAACTACGATAATTTTAAAAGGTTAAAACAAATAATATAGTATTTACTTTTTTCGTCCTGAATAACAAAAGAACCAGCATCAATCATTGCCAAACCAACTTGTCGTACTTTCAATAATAATCAATAATAATTTAGAATCTGAAAGGATAAATACATTTAGTAACGAAAATAAATATATTTACTCAAAGCAATTAATTCCGGTTTGAATTCTCTTCCGTTATCATTCGAGACATTTGCTTTCATTGCTATCGATGTGTTCCAGAGACCGACACCTGTTTTGAAACATTTACGCGCATTAATAAACACAAAAAAATATTAAATGGTAAAAAGAAAAGGTAATTTCCTATTTCATCCATATCATCAGCGAACTCGAAATTTCTTGTTAATTTTTGAAGATTCTTGAATTTTTCAACATTGCGTGATATTTCGTCCAGCGTGTCTTGCACGCTTTTTATATCTAATAAATCCTTATTTAATTTTTCATGAACATCTTTTACCAAAGCTATTAATGATATTAAAAAACAGTTAAACTTTAATTCAATTTGATATATGGTATAATACGCAAAAAAAAGCTACCGGAAATACTCTCGAATTGACTTTTGAGTCGACGAACAAGAACTTCTGAATTTCCTCCGTGGTCAGTACCAACACTTTCTCCTCGACTGTTATTATTATCTGTGTCTATGTTGAGAAGTTCTTGAGTAGAGTAGACGGTGGAAGGCGAGAAGCTATTTGATGCGCCGGCTTTCTTGGGCAAAGAGAAAGGAAAGTTGTCACCATCCGACTTTATTGACATATCGTGTTTTAATAAAGTCAAGAAAAGAAATAATCACCATTAAATTAACATCATCATTACAGTTTACTAATTTATCAGACACGCGAATATCGATATTAAAATTCGCTAAGCTAAAATGATACAAGAAATACTTGTTCTAGACAAGTATGTGGTGGTTGTACTATCGCTATAAAATGGGTTGTTTTCCCGAGAAAAGCTACACGTAATTTTTACACCTATTCATGAATGATTGTCACCATAGGAATCAGGTAATTTTTCTCTAATTTGTCGCTCATTTTTTTATCGACATTCTTCTCATAAATCATAAACAAGTGGCGCGTCGTGTTCAGGAAAAACGGCAAGTTTCTCGATTATTTGCAAGTGTTCAATGTGGAGAAAACATATTCTCTGTATTGTGTAAAACGTAAATAAATTTTCGCTTAATAGACTCTAGCGAGATTTTTACATGAAATTTTACCGAATTCCCAGATATTGTTCCAAGATGATTTTTTCAAGGTATGTAAAATGGGTATCAAGAGTTTTCATTTATTTAAATACCCTTTCATGATCGCTCATACATGTCCTTACTTTTTTAGCCCGAAGTTGACATTCCAATTGATCCAACAACAAATCTCGCAAACTGGGACTGTCCTGATGCACTGGATCTGAAAGGATTTGCAAACGTCTTGCGTGAGATAAAAGAAACCGGTATAATTCCGGAGACGTTTGTCAAAAAAGAGGATAAGAATATAATGGGAAAGCCGGTTCAACTGCAACGTCCATCGTTGATAGATGAATTAAAGAGAAAAGTGGAAGATTTTTTGGTGTTAAAGCATCCGCAGCAACAAAAGCAAAAGCAGCACAAGGAAAAATTTGAAGATAGAAGTAGTGAAAATAACCAAGTAGCTATTAATGGGAATGGTCATATCGATCTAGAACATTGTTCTCATGGAACAGCGCAATTTACAAATTGGGTATTTGTGATTGTTGATGGGTTCATGTTGTATTGGGATCAAGAAGTGAGGATGAAGTTGGACGTGAAATTTTTTGTCCGTGCAAGTTACGAAACGTTAAAACAACGACGGGAAAGTAGAAGTGGATATGTGACTCATGAAGGTGAATCTCGTTTCATCCTTCCTTCATTCAATGAACGATAATCTTATATTCTTGATTTTCAAAAATGAGCATTTCCAGGTTATTGGATTGATCCACCAGACTATTTCGACGATGTTGTCTGGCCAAACTACTTAAAGTTTCATCAACATTTGACATCTGCTCGCCAAGAGAGAGGTATCGATATTAGTGATCTAGTGGTATTTAAAAATGAGTATAAATCACCAATCGATCAGAATATCGAACGCGCGATAAACGCAATCCTCGAATATATAGATAGCAAGTTGACCTCGCAAGAATAATTTTTTGATAATTAAATTCTTAAAAGTTTGTTAAACTAAAATAAAAGAAATCTACAATTTGAATTTTATAACTTATTATGGTCGTTTTATTTCGGATTGTTCGTGATGTAATTCAGTTGCAAAAATGTTCTTATAGCGAGTGGGTAGTGTAATTATAGTTACAATACACATTATATGCAAAGTACAATCTGGAACACTGAAGGCCTACTCTGTTTGATGGATTATAATGTAGATTGTTCCGCGAGAATATTAAATAGTACTCAGGAGATAAAAACTTTTTTCAATTGAGTAATTTCAAACACATCTCCAGTACGAGGACATTGCACTTTGCCATTATTCTTTGCTGCCATATCTGTAAGCGCCTGTGAGTCGAAAAGAAAATGGCTTAGTTTTCATATAGTTCAGCGTATTCCAATCAAATAATTTTAACCGCCATAGAGACAAACTCACTTTATGTGAATACACATATCCATTAGGCAAGGCCATTGGTGCATTATCTTCATCCATTATTTCACCACTTAGTCGGCACACAATGGTAGAATTAACATGATGACTTAACGGTAGGTTCTCTGCCAAATTTCCAAGTGTATCCGCTGAACAAACCGGGCAATTGATGTTTCGATTCTCGGGTTGATAACACATTGGAGTTTTCAGCGCTGACAACCCAGCTTGGAGTGTCACCGAGAGAAGAGGCTGCGAGGTTAATGAATTCAATGCGAAATTATCTGAACGAAATTGTCGAATTAGTTGATCCCAACGCGATGTATCATATAATTTCTATTGACGGAAATCATTCTAAGATTAATATAATTTGAAAAAAATATTAGGGAAAATACAAAATGAAAATTATTAACTTTATAAGGTTGACAATTTGTGTTTGATGAGAATGCAAGTAAACCCAATGCTTGTTGGAGATCTTTCATGTGCGTTTCCGACCATGGTGTCAAATATTTGCGAGAATATGCAATCGCATCAGATGTACGTCGAAATCTTACAAGCTCAATATATTCTTGAAGGCGAAGATTGAATTCCAATGTACTCTGTGAAAAAAAATTCTTGAGATAAAATGTTTTTAAAAAAAAATAAACCAAATAAATCCTTTAGAAAACAAAACTTACATTATTTTTAATCAAATTCGACTTATTTTCTTTACACCAACGTAACGCTTCAGCACAACTATGCTTCTGTAAAGCCTGTTCAACCCTTTTAGATTGACTGAATAACTCCACATCCACGTATTGCTTCTTGATTAAAATACTTAAATACATAAATAAATATGCAAATTTATTTTTCCCATTATATATATTTAAGAGTCATGAAAAAAATCAAACTCACATCAATTCCATCTTCTTTTGCTAATCTTTCCGCGGTTTTACTCAACCCCTCTCGTAACATATAATCTACCAAAATCCGACCTAACCGAACTCGGCTCCATTGTGTATAGGCTTCAATGTTCGCCGTGGGGATTTTCGTTAGTTCGTTCAAATGCTCGAGTCGTATTCGACTTCGTGATACGTACATGCTTTCTTCTTCTTTGATATCATTAAGCTATCGTAAAAAAGATCAATCAAATCATTAACAAAATTTTTGTTGATTTCAATTTAATCTTTATAATTGATTTGATTGAATAAAAATTCTCGATAGTTACTTTGCGCTTCAATTTGTGCAAACGACCCACCATCCCTTCTATGACGTCTGTAACTTCCTTTGTCTTGAGCTCTTCCTGTTTTGATTTAGTAGCGAGTTCATTGATGTCACGCGAAAGATTTGAAAACTCTTTGTCGAGTTGTCTCTGAGAAGTGCGTGCAGATTTTTTCAATTGTTCAAGGGGAACCTGAGATAGATAAAAAGATATTTCAAATCATGTTGTTGGTCGCTCTAAATTTAACTCAAAGTTATTGCATGAATCACCAACCTTTATAAAAGGTTGCTCTAACACTAACAAGCCCTCATGATTTAACTTGTTCATTATTGTTTAGTATTACCAAGGTAAACGTGCAGTTATTTAAGTTATTTATATATTTTATGATCTCGTCGATCACACACGTTATCATTATTGTATTCATGCAATTCCCGCATCAATATAATGTTGAACGATCATCTCTGGTTTTATTTCAAAAGACGTGAATTCGAGAATTTGTTAATAGCAATATGATTTATAACATGTACATATTTGACCGCCATTGCGCGTGCATATTTTACATTGACTGGCACCGTCATCGAAAAAGTGGAGGTGGAGGCGGAGGTGCAGGTGTCACCACTTCAACTACAAGCGCAACTGCTAGTATGAATGGTCACGCAGAAGAACATGTGTCCCCGTCCGCATCTACTATTACTCCATCAACAACAGGACATAATATTACCAGTCATCACTCTACAACTTCACAACTGACGAATACAAGCTTGTTCTCGGATAGTAGGCTAATAAATTTGGAGGAGGAGGCAAAATTGGTTTATGGGGTGGTGTTCTCACTGAGAAATTTTGTGAGAAAGTTGAGTGGCAGGTTAGTATTGTGTTTTAGTGAATGTATATTATTGGGTTTATTGGATGTTTTTGGACATCCAGAAGTTAATAAAATCGCAACGCGTCTTTTTGCCCATAATTAATGCATTATCGAGATATTAAAAAAGCCTTGATGCATATGGATCAATGATTTAATCATTTATTTTTTAGTCAAGATGGATTCCTATCATATCGCACATCGCATTATAAGCTGCATTACTACGAAACTCCAACTGGACTCAAATTTGTGATTAATACTGATCCGGCGGTAGATACATTACGTTCTGTTCTACGGCAGATTTACACAAATTTTTACGTAGAGTATGTTGTGAAGAATCCATTGTCACCAGCTGAACATCCAAGTGGGGAAGGAGTGAATAACGAGTATTTTCGAACAGCAGTGGATAAATTTATAAAGAGTTTAGTGGTTTTCGACTCTTGAATTGTTCTTATCAATAGATCGATTATCGGATGTTATTTTTCGAATTTAATTTATTGATTTATAAAAATTTGTTTTTGTATGTAATCTTTCCTGTTGACATATAATGAAATAAATATTATTAAAATGCTACGGTAACAATTGAAAATTTACGATATTATTTTTTAGATTTGGTTTCGGCTTCAGATTCGGCTTTGGTTTTGGTCTTGGAGGGTAGATCTTTTTTTATTTTCGTGACTGTCTTTCTGGGTGTTCCTAACAATGGCTGGTTCTTGATCATTCTGCCATGACGTAACCACAATTGACGATGCTGGACATTATCAGGCCATTCTACTCCAAACTCCCTTGGTATATCTCTTCGCGACATACTTTCCCAAAACAATAGTAATTGACTTTGATCTGGATCCTCCAATTTCCGTTTAATCAATTCTTTAATTCCTTCACAGAATGCGAGTACACTGTACTCGATTTCTTTCATGTCTTCGACTTCACGTAAACGTTTCGGTTGTTGATAGTAATCGGGCGGTTTTGGTTTATTCTCGAGTCTGAAGCGAATGAAATTTAGCAAAGAAATCCTTGAAGCTTCACTTTTGAAGCCGCAGACTCCAAGGAAAGGCTGCCAAAGATCTTTACGAAGTTGATGAGAGCGAAGTGCCGGGTTAAGCGTTTGTCGAAGATATCTATTCTAGAGGGAAGGATGATAAAATGCGATGCTGCAGTGATATCATTAAAGATCTCTGAAAATCATAAAGGATACAGTCAACTCTCCCTAAATGCAATTCGCCGGGACCATATGACTAATCAGATATGGGCATGCATTTAGAGAGAGATTGGATTTATAGAGATTATGGATTTAAAGGTCTTATAAGCTTGGGACTTGCATTTAGCGTGTGCATTTATAGAAGTTGCATTTAGGGAGAGTTGATTGCATATCTAAAATTCCATTTGACATTTTCATACGATACCTTCATGTTGACTTGTGGACTAATGAGCACTTGAGAGGTCGCGACATGCCGAAAGAAAAATAACTTTTCTATATATTCTACATTAAAGGTTTTCTCGAATTTGTAAAGGTGGAAATTGTGTTTCATTATATTTTTTCAAGGAATAAAATTTTGAATGTCAACGAATCAATAACATTTCGTGTTACATAGAATTTTTATGAAAACTACCAACAGTTTCACTCCACGAATTCGCTCAAATTCCATCTTCACTTGATACTTCTCACGTTTTTTCAGTGCAATTACTTGTCCGCATAATAATAATGGCTTCTGGACAAGTACATTCAGTACTTTTTGAGGGTTCAGAAGTTTATGAGTATGGTACAGCAGATAACCTGCAGTTTTATCCCTCGACATACGGAGATCCCGCGGCAGGCTATGCTGCCTCAACCAGTGGAGCTTATTATTCTCCACCAAGCGTTCAAACATATCCACACACTGGTTATCATGGGGGGAGCTCTGGAAGTTTTTGGAGTGCTTTTGGGACTGGAGGTTTTGCCGATGAACCACCATTATTAGAGGGTATGTAAAGTTGCCGGTCATATTGCGCAGGGGACTTGTTAGTAGAAGAACATGTGTTTCCTTATAAGACAAGTTTATAAACTCAATTCTTTAGTATGTTTCTTGATTGACACTCGCACTATGTCCTGTTATCACAATTCCTAAAATTTATCGATTTTGCTGTACAGAACTCGGGATCAATTTTGGACACATAAAATCAAAGGTAATCCAAACAAGAGAGAAAAGAATTCTATATATAAATTTAATGTCATCACTAACTAATCTTTCCTTTCTGACTGATTTAGAGTTTGGCAGTATTGAATCCCCTTGGGACTGTTGATAAACATATAATGGATGACACAGACCTAGCAGGACCTCTTTTATTCTGTTTAATATTTGGAGTTTCACTATTGCTTGCAAGTTGATTCACTTTATTCTTCAGTTATTGTTATTTTATTGCTTAATAAGATTGATTGATTGAGTTAATAATTTTTTTCATAGACTGGTAAAGTTCATTTCGGGTATATTTATGGGGTGGCTGTGCTAGGATGGTTGTCGATATATTTAATTTTAAATATGATGAGTGAATCGGGAGTGGATGGATATCGAACTGCTAGTGTATTGGGATACTGTCTTTTACCTTTAGTTCTATTGAGTTTAATTGGTGTGGTGGTTCCATTAAGGTAAGATTTTCTAATCATGATTGCTGAGAATATTTTAAAAAAAATAATTATCTATTAAAAATTCTATATCATTAAAGTGGGCCAATTGGTCTAGTCGCTTCTGGTCTCGCTATTGGATGGTGTACATATTCATCATCAACAATGTTTGTCACTGTCTTGCAAATGTCAGAACAACGTCTATTAGTCGGGTACCCGGTAGGATTGCTGTACGTATGTTTTGCGTTGATGACAATATTTTAAGGGTCAAAAGATGGGAGAACTATACATCCACCTGTTGTTTATATTATATTAGCATCATTTATCGAAAATTTGTTACTTTTTTTGACATATTAAATAAATTCACGTATTTCTAACTCTGATCTGTATTACGGCATTATGACAAGTGAATTAAGAAAAATACTACCTATCTATAAAGAACATCGATTTTACTTTAATATCTTGTAATTGGAACATTTATTAATTATGATACTACCTATATGGATATTTTCGTTCTCGTGAAATCAATACGAAAATATGTAAAAATGACAACCAAGGCCCACAATGTCATATGTGTAACCATGCATTGCTTTGTAATGAAGCATGATAAGATATTTTTCACGTCTTCTAAGCACAACACACGTCATCTTCAAAAGTTTTAAGTATCCTAAAAAAGAGAAGTTAGTTTTTTCAGATAAGTTAAGATTCTGAAGTTAATTTTTAAATTTTAGTTTCCTTGTTTTAGATTTGATTATTTTAGACTTGGAATAATCTAGTTTTGTTATTCTTATATATTTTGTATAGTCTATTAGAAGTGCTAATATAAAACAATAATAGAAAAAAGTATAGTAATAAAGATATATTATTAATAAAAATTCATTTTAAATTCTTGAATTTTATATTACTTAATTTTTTAAATCTCACTTAACTTAAAAAATCTTCTAAAATTCAACAATCTTTTGTTAAATTATTTTTTATTATATAAATTAAAGATCAAAAAACTGATATAATAATAATAATAATAATAAATTATATCTTAAAAGAAACAACAAAGAAGAAAAAGAAAATTTTTTTAATTTACTAATTTACATATTAAAAAAACTTTTATCTTTTAGAAAATAAAATTAAAAGATGAAAAATTTATATTGTTACTATTTTAATAAGCTTTATAATCTTTTAAATATAAATCACATGTTTTTGATCAGGTAGAAGAGTTATTATATTTTAACTAGAGATTTTACATGTTATAATATTTTAAAAATGGGAGAGATTAATTTACTAAAGATTTTATAACTAATTATCTAATAGTAGGTAACAAAGTATTTGTATTATTAAGCAGCTAAAATAAGCTTAGAAATTTTTTTTAATTCAAATAATTTATTATTAAGTAATCTTTTTTTATCAATTAACTTTTTAAAACAAATAACTTTTCTTTTTATTAAATTTCTAAATAATAATAACTAACTTTGCAGGATGATAATGTGAGGTTAATTATATTAAATAAAAGATATTACTTATTACAGACAAGAAATTTTTTAATAAAAAAATACAAATAAAAAAGTAAAAGGATAATTAATGCTTGATTGAAAAACTTCAATTCAAGACTTTATAATATAATTCACTTCTAAGAAAATTTTGTCAAAAAATAATTAAATTATTAGATAATTAACTAACTTAACTAATTTATTAAGCTAAGATATATATTATATTTATATAAATTATTTGTTACTCAATTATCAAAATCTAAAATTAAATTTGATTAATATTGTTACAAGTTTGTTTACTAATCGTTAAATTAGCTTACAAACTTAAATCTATAATTTAATTCAATAATTTCAATACAACAATTTGTTCAGTACAATACGATATTATAATTCAAATATTCTATAACATAGTTATTTTATTGATAATTAATCACTTTTATTATATTTAACATTTTTAATAATTAAATTTATTTAATTTAATTATTTATTATTTAATTATTTAATTTATTATATTCTTATTGAACAAATTTAAAATCATGCGACTTTTATGTATAACATATGAGTTTGACATGTGATTTCTACATGTAATTTATATATGTGATTTTATATATGATTTATTATTAGTTATTTATTATTAGTTATTTATTATTTGTTATTATTATTTTAATTAATTTTATAATTTTTATAATTTTTATAATTTGCATAATTTGCATGATCTGCATAATCTGTATAATTCACATAAATATAAATTGTAGAGATAGTAGAATTTTCAGAAATATCAACATTATCCACTATATCATATTTATCTAACATGTATAAATATATCTTATATTGTAATAACTTAATCATAAAAATATTAAAATATTAAATATAAATACAACTGGTCTTGTAGTTATAGAAAAATAAGTTATAGTTAATTAGATCCAATACAATAAAGTTATAACAATTAGCCCAACTAATAACTTAAATAAAATATCTTTAGTTAAATCTTATAAACAAACAAATTAATTATATGTAATTACATCATTATATTTGTATTTATTGTGCACTACTAAACATTCAACCAGGTTGTTATAGAATATTAATACTGTATTGCTATAGAATCATCCTAAATTTAATAAATTTTATATTTGATTAATATGTGGTATTTAAACCAATATAAATTTCCTAGTACTAGTTTATCAGGTGAGTGTATATCACCAATTCTCTACCAAGTTTTCTTTTCGTTAAATTCAGATTCGGAATCTGCAGGAATTTCAGTCATTTTTTCTGAGAAAATTGCAAAGATTTCAATGTACTCGAAAGTGTATTCTAAATTTGGCCAATCAAATGAAATTGCACAGGATACTTGGTCTGAAGTGATACGAAAGACATTAATGGCCGATTTTCAGGTTTCGGATCCCAACATTCTTTGTAAAGCTTCACGTAATCACTTTTTGTTTCTGAATTTGGTGTTTCTCTTAATCTATTATCGACATCGTAAACGCACCATCAAATTGTCTTCCTTCAAAAGCATATTTTCCATGCAGATTAACAATCTCCCATAAAATAACACCGAATGAATAGATCTTGTTTCAAGCGGATAGTTACAATATCGAAGACACTGGCGCAATATAAGATATAATGCCAATACTTGATTATTGGTCGAAGAATTGGCATTGATAATTCGACATTCCAAAATCGGTTAATTTGGCAGCCTCTTTTCGCACTAGGATATTTTCGAATGCTGTTTTAAAAAGATAAATTTAATAACTTAACGTTAATGGGAAAAGTCATATTTTTTAATCCAGCAGCTTCTATATAATTATGTGTGCACGAATTACATGCGTCTTTGTGGCTGCGATTGAAACAGATAGTGCAAGTTTACATGACTATACACATTTTATAGAGGAAAAAAAGTGAATTGTTATCATGTATTTGGGTAGACTTGTTATTTTATACTTGTTAATGTAAAAAAAAGTTTAACATAAGACAGTGTTGGCAAATGACAAAAATGGCATGTCATAAAAAATTTTATTTCTTTAATGAATCAAAAGAACTTTGTCATTAATGGAATTTTTTCAATAACATTTGAAATAACAAAACATAAATTAAAAATATATAAATTATTTTTATAAGCCAAAAGTTTTGTCATTTACTTTGAAATCTGTTTTATCCACGATAATGGCAGAATTGTAATTTGATTAAACCGTCTGATTTAAATGATTGAAGGTCACCAATATTTCCTTTCGTTATTATGTATTCAGTATTAACATGTCTTTATGCAACAACTACAATGATTTCTTATAAAGAGTCAGGAGCTTTAATTTATTATGTTAAATTAATACATACTTATAAAGTTTAAATTAGTAGATATTTGAATTATTATACTGATACATATATATTAAGCTATTGAATTGTAATTTTCTTTGGAGTAACACTCTCCGTTTTCGGAATCTTCACTTCCAATATTCCATGATCGAATTTCGCAACTATCTCATCGGACTTAACATATAATGGCAAACAAATACTACGCGAATAACTGCCGTAGCGACGTTCTTGGATATGCGTATTGCCTTCTTTGTATTTTTGATCTTGTTTTGTTTCACCAGAGATGTGG